ATGGAGATGCTAAACTGGTCAGTCCTATGCTCAGGACAGGGCAACTGCTAATGGAAAAGGCATTCATTCACTCACAGTAGACAGGATCCTTGGCTCCTGCATGAGTCAGGAGGAGGGGCTGTGTGGGGGAATGGATTGCCGAGCAGTTTGTTTTGCTGATCATTGAGCAGTTATGTATTTTCCGGGAAAGAGGCCAGGCCTCAGTTGCTCTGTGAGCTCAGGAAAATGCCATTCTAATTGGCTCATAATTCAGTTAATTCATTCTCATTACAGGCCAGTGTGGATGGATTGGGTATGGGGAGCGGGGGAGAAAGAGAGATTGGCAGAAAAACAGTTGATCCAAGTTCTAAAGAGTTCCTTCCTGTTAGGTCAAAAGTACGCAACCTATAGGATTGTGCGTATTGCTTGAAGGCTTCTCCAAAGCTTCCCTTGAATTTTGACTACATATTTGGTGGGCCACCAACTTCAACGCCAAGCAAGAAGTAAAGGCGGACCAGATCTGCAGATTGCATCTGTCTCTCACACAAACACGCACCCCAGATGCAAAGCCAGGATCATGTACAATAAGGACTGCAGTGTATCTCATCCAGTGGTGGATTCCAAAATTTTTTATTACCGGTTCTGTGGGTGTGGCTTGGTGGACGTGGCTTGGTGGGTATGGCAGGGGAAGGTTACTCAAAATCCCCATTTCCTTCTGATCAACTGGGACTTGGGAGGCAGAGAATAGATGGGGGCAGGGCCAGTCAGAATTTTTACTACCGGTTCTACTGGTACTCAAAATTTCCGCTACCAGTTCTTCAGAACTGGTCAGAACCTGCTGAAACCCACCTCTGATCTCATCTCATTTTCCTGTCTATCACCATCTGGAATCCTTAGTCATTTCTACTAGCAAAGCTGGTTTGGAATAGGCAATCATCTTTCACTCCCAATCATTAACTAATGATTATTCTAATTTATTGATTAGATCTAGAGGCAGGGAGCTTAAGGAGCTATTAGAAGATCTGTGATGGAACCAACAGTTGAAAGGGAGGGAGCTCCACCTGGGGGAGTAAAGAGACATTTCAGCTTGGAGTTCATTCCAAGTTTAGGTTTAAATATAAAGGTACTCGCACATATGTGCTAGTCGTTCCTGACTCTAGGAGGCGGTGCTCATATCCGTTTCAAAGCCAAAGAGCCAGCGCTGTCCGAAGACGTCTCTGTGGTCATGTGGCTGGCATGACTCAACGCCAAAGGTGCATGGAACGCTGTTGCCTTCCCACCAAAGGTGGTCCCTATTTTTCTACTTGCACTTTTTTTTACGTGCTTTCGAACTGCTAGGTTCCAGAAGCTGGAAGAAGTAACGGGAGCTCACCCCATTACACAGCACTAGGGATTTGAACCGCTGAACTGCCAACCTTTCGATCGATCAGCTCAGTGTCTTAGCCACTGAGCCACCGCATCCCAGTAGCTGTACATTTCCCAAGGGAAGGCAGAATAACTGACAAGATTCTTATAATATAGGTGCTCAACAATAAAATATCTGTTTGGGCTCATTCACAAATGATTCTGGCTATTTGTGCCTGGACTATTGGACTGGCAACATGTTCCCCCTTTTTCTTGGCCACGTGAAGTCTAACATGTATGTACTGTATAACGTGGCCCATCCTTATGCTGAATTCTCACTTCCTGTCACAATAAATGCAAACAGCAGAGTTTGACAGTGTCTGTCACTGCCTTGCATTTAAGTGAGATAAGTGTCTTTTGGATCGATTGACTGATTGATTGATTGAATGAATGAATGAATGAATGAATAAGGAATTTGTTTTGTTTTTTTATATAAAGTTTTATTAATTTTCTATTGTGTACGTTTTGTTAGTGCTTAATAAGCATGTGTTGTCTGGGTTATTTTATTTATTTAGCAGTACAGATTGCGTTCTTAATCTCCACCTCTTTTTTCCAACCACTGGTAGAATAAGTTCCATGTTTGATAATATTCTGTATCTTCTTCCTGTTTAATCTTCAATGTGAGTCTGTCCATTTCTGCACAATCCAGTATCTTCCTAATTATCTCTTCATCTCATGGTATTTCTTCATTTTTTTCAATATTGTGTAACCACGTATGTATTTTTGCCCAAATTTTCTTTGCTTTAACACAAATCCACCACATATGGTAATATGTGCCCATTTTTTGGTTACATTTCCAATATTTGCTAGACATATTTTTAAACATTTTAGCTAACCTAGCAGGTGGTAGGTGAATTTATTTCATTTGATACCGCCAATCTAAAACAACTCACCGTGTTTCCCCGAAAATAAGACCCTGTCTTGTATTTTTTGAACCCTGAATTAAGTGCTTGGCCTTATTTTCGAGGAGGTCTTATTATTTTGGGGCGCATGGAGTGAGACGGGGATCCTCTTGCAGTCTTACCTGATTTCCAGCTCTGTCTCCCTAGCCCTAACTAGAGGAAATGGCGGGGACTGGCTGCGTATGCATTTAAATATTTTTGGGGAGGGCTTATTTTTGGGGGAAGGTTTATTTTCGGGGGAGGGCTTATTTTTGGGGAAACACGGTCATGTTTTCAGTGCTTCCACTTCTGAAAAAGTGGGTTGGTCCTTCTTAGGTCCTGGAAGTCTTTTAAATTGGGTTGAATCTTGCATAAAGTGTGTGTCGTAAATACATCAGCAAGACAGGGAAGGAATTTACAAGCTATATGAGGAACAATTTTCAGTTCTGTTGAACTACATTTTTTGGTTCTTTAGCCGATCAGAAAAGCTTCCTGGCTGCCAAATGTTATTGCAAAGATAAATGAGCCAAGGTGGCGCAGTGGTTAGAGTGCAGTGCTGCAGCTACTTCAGCTGACTGCTAGTTCAGCAGATCAGCAGATCAAATCTCACCGGCTCAAGGTTGACTCAGCCTTCCATCCTTCCGAGGTGGGTAAAATGAGGACCGAGATTGTTAGGGGGCAATATGCTATTTAGTATACTGTTGATTGTTGTAAGCCGCTCAGAGTCCTCGGAGAATGGGCGGCATAGAAATATGATTAATATAAATAAATAAATAAATAAATAAATAAATAAATAAATAAATAAATAAATAAATAAATAAATAAATAAATAAATAAATAAATAAATAGAAAGTCATGTTGGCTTCTTATCTAGCTGACCCTTCCTCACTCTCATTATAACCTTTCCTTCCTTCCTTCCTTCCTTCCTTCCTTCCTTCCTTCCTTCCTTCCTTCCTTCCTTCCTTCCTTCCTTCCTTCCTTCCTTTCCCTCCCTCCCTCCCTCCTTCCTTCCTTTTCCCTCCCTCTTCATTCTCCTTTCTCCTTCCCCTCTTTCCTTCTTTTTCCTTCCTTGCTCTCTTCCCATCTTCCCTTCTTTTTCTTTGTCCCTTTCCCTTTCTCCTTTCCTGTCCCATCTTGCATGGCAGGCTCAAATGCAAAAGGGGAAACATTTCTCCTTTTCTTTTGTTTTTAGTTTGTTTTGATAGCCCTCTGCCAATGAAAACGGAGCCCAGGGGAAGGCGGGGGGCACACACGGCAGAGGCACTGCGGGCTAATCCTTTGCTGGCTCCGTGGGCCAGATCTAAGCACCCCACAGGTTGGATCTGAGGGCCTTGAGTTTAACATCCCTGCATTAAGCTATTATCTGTGTTTCTATCTAAAATGCTTCTTTCCAACTAAAAGGAAGCAGTTCTTTCTCTGATAATGGAGCAGCTGTTTGCAAAATCATCTCCTGAACTTTTTATCAGTTTGTCAGCCGACAATTGCTGGGATATCTTACTGATTTTTTTAAAAAAAAACCTGGAGGGAAGGTTTTAACATTATTCCATATTGTGAGTGCTGTTACACTGGTCCAGGATGTGCTACTGAATTAGTTGCTCACATTTTTACACTGCTGCCTCTTTATAATTTTTGGCTCGCAGCCTTCATATATCCACATCTTCCTGGCTGTGGCCAGGACCTAGAAATCGTTCGCCTTATACTTTCAGACCTTTTATTGAAGATTTCCAGGAATATTGCCAAGTTCTGCTCCATCATTATGGCTAAGTATTACAAGGTTTGAGGTTTAGCTTTTACTTTAGAGGGTTGTATGGACAAACTCAACTGTGCTGGAATATGTCAGCGTCCCAGCACTGACATATATAAGGAGAGGAGAAGCTTGAACTTTTGCCTACTTAATTCCTTTGAAGATTCTGTCTCCTTGGAGATGGGAGGAGGGGGACATTCCTGTGATCTGATGGAGAAGGGATGAGGAAAGTGGCTTGGAAGATAGCCAATGAGACGCAGAGAATTGGGGATCGGAAAGGGAGGGATTGGGGGGGCAAAGGTCAGTACTGACCGCGAAAGAGCCAGGGACAGATCACTATGCTAAATAAAGAGAAAATTTCCTTAAAGATCGGCAGTTTGGAAATTCCTTTTATTTTGAGATAGCATCGAAACCTGACAGAATATTTGCTTCCATTTCCTTTGTTTTATTACGTCTCGCATGATGCTTTGCATTGCTCTCCTTTGTTTGACTTACGATCATTTCACATTTTCTTGGTCTTACACCTCAGTAAAGACTATACATCGATAAAGGAAGGAAGGGATTGCCTGCTCCAACATAAACAGGAAACCTGAATTTGAATTAAATTTGAATTTGAATTTTCGAAGCCTGGCTTTTAAATCAAGAATTCTCCTAAGCAAGGGGTGACAAACTGGTGGCCCGTGGGCGGATGCGTCACATGCAGGCCACGCCCACCCCAGTTCCGCGAAGGGGGAAAATGTCACAAAACATCACGTGGCGGCAACATAACGTGTTGAGTTTGACACCCGTGTCCTAAGATATCTGATGTGGATACTGAAAAAATAAGAAGACTGTTACGCAATGAGCTGGCCATTAGGCCCCCAGCGCTGGACAACAAAAAACTAAAATTCAGTGATTCCCGAGGTTACTGAAGTGGGAAAGATGGTTTAAGACATGCTACAAAGCATCTATACTTAATCACCTTCCTTTTTTGGGGGGGTATTTCTTACTAGGAGACCTGGTATTGGTATGGTGACACTGGTGCAGACAACGTGGTCATGAGTGGGATGAAATGCTCCGGGACAGAAATGGCTTTGTTCCATTGCCCACATGATGCCAAGATCTCCTGTCCCAAGGGAGGCGGACGCCATGCAGCTGGTGTTTCCTGTACAGAAAGTAAGCACTTCGGCTTCCTTGGCTCACATCTTAGACCACAGTTTATCTAAATCGCAGCCAAGTATGTTTATGAGTGTTTTATTGGGTTTAACCCAGGGGTGAAATAAAAAAAAAAAACCCTACCGGTTCTGTGGGTGTGGCTTGTTGGGGGGCAGTCATGTGACTGGGTGGGCGTGGCCAACTCGACATCACTCACATCGAGGGGCTCCTCACCGGCCCCTCCCCTCCCAGCCACTCCTTGTCGCGAATGGCAGGAAAATGGGGAGGGGAATATTCCTGCCTACCATCCTTCCCTTAGTCTGTGCTGAGATTGAGGAATGGATGACAGGCAGGAAAATCCCGTTCCCTGTTTTCCTGCCTTTCACAAAAATGGCTCCATTCCAGCTGCTCCCCACCTCCTGTCCCCCTCCCTCCTGGGGACTACCTTAAAAGGGACAGCCTACAGCAGCTCAGTTGTGAATGGAGGGAGAAAAGTTAGCATTCTCTCTGCTGCATTTAACATTGAATTCTGTGGAATATCGAGCGACTGGAAGAGGTGAGCGGTGACCGGCTTGGCGTGGGTGGGGCCAAGGAGGGGTAATTACTACCAGTTTGGCAAACTGATGCCAATAATCCCTAGCGGTTCTCTCGAACCAATCCGAACTGGTAGGATTTCACCCCTGGTTTAACCAGGATGAATGCTAACACGACTTCTCCATAACCTTGGTTATTGTGACATGGCAAGCAAAACAAATTGGTTTTGAAACCAATCAATAATGTTCGATTAACTAATTAATGAATCTTCAATTAATTGGTCAATAATGAACAATTAAACAATGGAATATCTCGCTACCCGGAGTTGTGGGTTCTCCATCACAGGAGGTTTTTTTCAAAACTAGACTGGCCAACTATTTGACCAGGATGATTTAAGTCTCCTGCCTTGAGCACAGGGTTGGAGTAGAAGACCTCTAAGATCCCTTCCAACCCTATAATTCTATGTTAAATATTTCAGGGAGAAATCTGATTCTAAACTCAAAACTGCTTCGTGTTTCTAATATCGTGCGTCCATGTGGTTTACTTAATGGAAAAGATCTACCGTTGCCTACTTTAGAGTTTCAATTTTCCAGATGAGATCATATCTTTGGACGTTCTTGAGACCTCCCATTCAAGTTCTAAACAAGATCTAACCTCTCAAGCTTTCTCTGATCAGCCAAAGTGAGCCAAGTGTTGCAATTTGCCCCGGCAAATGTATTGTACTGCTATCTGAATTAATTGTTGTGACCCAGGCCCAAGTAGGTATTATCAGACGCAATCAGTTCGAAACAAACAGACTTTATTAGAACAGCTGAGAATTAACTCATTCTCAGCGTAGTCCAAACTAAATCAAAACAAATTCTTCATAACACAATTCTTCAGCCTTATCACCAACCTTGGTCTAATTAGGCAAACTGCCAAAGGCTTTTCTTGGCAAAAGTTCGGAAGCAGAAGACGCCGACAAGAAATAAATGCAGCAAGACAAGTAACAAATCTATCAATGTTGTTTTCCGACAAAGAGCCCAAGAGCTGTTGCTGGTCTTTTAAGCCTTATGGGAGGGGCCAATCATCTCTTGGCCTTACTCCCGAGTCATCCTTTTTGCTTTAGCTGCTCTTGCCTTCTGGCAGCTCTTCACATGCGTGCACTAGGAACAGGCTCCTCCTGTTCTTCTGCCTCTCTGCTGTCAGCCTCTGGAGGCTCCGGAGTCCGCACATCACTCCCAGATGGCCCTGGCCCCATCTCTGCCTCCGATGCAGTGCCCTCATCTAGGCCTTCCCCAGACTCCAGGACTTGCCCATTGCCCTCCACAGCCTCCTCACTGTCTGACTCCGCTGCCAGCTCTGCAGGATGCTGGTGGACCACAACATTAATATAAAAATGTTCTTGAGCTGAGCTGAGCTTCTCTCCTGGTGTCACAAGATCACATCCCAGATAGATTTATTGACAATATTAGAAAAACGCTTTGCTGGTGTCTTCCTCTGATAATAATGTGTCCCTATCACATGTCTCTGCCATATCACTAAGCATCACCTTCCATAAATGGAAACAAACTCTGATGGGAGTCCTAACCAGGGGTGAAATTCACTTACCGTCACTACCGGTTCACAAATGTGAGCGTGCACGCCTCCTTCTCGCATGCACAGAATCTGCTGCGCATGTGCTGAGGGTGAAAAACGGGACATAATGATGTCTGGGTGGGTGGGCGGAGCCTCCCTTCTCCAGCGCTACCAGTTTGCCCGAGCCAGATAGAACTGGATGAATTTCACCACTGGTCCTAACCAGGGGTAGGTTCTACTTACCTTTACTACCGGTTCGGAACGGCATGCATAGATTGACGATGACGACATCCGGGACGGTGGGCAGGGCCTCCCGCCAGTTTTACTGAACCGGTCCGAACCAGGGGCACCACTGGTCCTAACCCTACCTTAGGATGAATACGGGTCTTGAAAAGCGTCTTGAGAAACCTTCCATTTTTCAAGGGCGTCTACAAATCCTTCAGCGGAAATAATCAGAGGTTAAAAGTGAAGTCCTTACTCTCCATTCATGTCTGCAGCTGCGGCTGATCTCGTCCTCAACGCCAAGGAAGTAGAACAGACATCCTACCTGGAGGATCGCCCCATGCATGTGCTGCAGTGCGCCATGGAGGAGAATTGCCTGGCCTCCTCTGCGGTCAACACCTCGGTGACCTCCGGTTACAGGAGACTCTTCCGCTTCTCCTCCCAGATCCATAATAACGGGCAGGCTGACTTCCGTCCCAAAACGGGCCGCCACGCTTGGATCTGGCACGAATGCCACAGGCAAGTCTTGCTTTCTGTCTTCGCTTTTGTAGAATAGGAAGGAGGGAAAAAAAGTGAAATGCTGACACAACTCATGTGGGGTCACCAACATGCAAGACAAAAAAGGGTTCTAAGCGTGACTTAAAATACTGGTGGCCTTGGCCGTTGGTTCAAAGTCAATCTCAACAATGCCACGAGCACATTCCTGACCTGCTCACATCTCCCTTGAAGCCATAATTTAATTCGCTGTGGTTTAAACATGGCTGGCTGGGGAATTCTGGGAGTTGAAATCAGGGGTGGACGTCAAAACTTTTAGCAAGGGGTTCTCTACCCAGTTACTGGGCGGACGTGGCCATGGTGGGCGTGGCCTAGTCGGCCTCCTGCACCACGGTGGTGTGTGTGTGTTTTTGCCCTCCCCAGGCTTCGGAGGCTTTCCTCAGGCCTCTGGGAGGGCGAAAACGGCCTCCCCAGGCTCCAGAGGCCCTCTGGAGGGCAGAAACATGCTCATTTCTGGCCTTCTTGAACTTCTGGTAGGCCCATTTTTCACCGTCCCTGAGCCTCCGTGCACGTCTTGCACTTACCTGCATCCAAAATGGGTCACATGGGGACTCCTGGGAGGGGCGTGGTGGTATGGGCAGGGCCAGCCAGGAGTGGAATTTGGGGGTTCTCCGAACTGCACAGAATCTTAGCTTCCGAACCCCCCAGCAGCCCACCCCCGGCTGAAGCTCACAAGTCTCAAAAGTTGCCAAGTTCGGAGAGCCCTGCTTTAAAACCCCGCAGTTGGGTTTCATCATTCCCCAAGCAAATGGTGTTATGACGTAGCACAGGGAGGGAATCCTGCCAGTTCTGTACGAATCTATGCAGCCCCTTTTGTGGATGATTCCAGATTGTGGGGTCCATCTCCTTCTGTTGATTCAAAGCCTAAGAGTATCTCCGGCAGGTTAATAGCACCAGTTGATCAAGCTTCTCGAACCAACAAAGATGGCTCTTGATGTGGCCTCTTTCTGTTTAACCTCACAATGTCCTTTCCTATTAACACTCGTTTCTGGACTTTCTGAAAAGTTCAAATTAAGTGAGGCAGCTACAACTGATCAGCCGGTTGAAACCAGTTTGTTTATAGACAGGGATACCTACTCAATTCCTCTACAGCAGTGTTTCTCAACCTTGGTAGCTCGAAGATGGGTGGACTTCAACTCCCAGAATCCCCCAGCCAGCAGCGCTGGCTGGGGGATTCTGGGAGTTGAAGTCCACCCATCTTCGAGCTTCCAAGGTTGAGAAACACTGCTCTACAGTATTTCTGGTCCATAAACAGCATAAGATAAACACTTCCCTGAGCAGGCGGGCATATTTTAGGAACAGTCGGCATTTATGTTTGACTTTTTCACACCGGAAAATCGCTCGAGCACACAGCTTCAAAGCAAATAGTTTGGACTTCTTAACAGCTCTCCGTATTTTCCATTTGCAGGCTGTGGAATTCTATTCACGATCCGGGTTGGGGGTGGGTAGCAGAGTTCCACTGAAAGGCAGGTAAAAGAGAAACCCAAGAATGTGTGGCAAAAGAAAATTATTATAGCAACTCTGAGTCAGTTTTTTTTTTGAAGGTTTCCTTTCCCCACAAGCAAGTAGAATAAATAAACAGATTGATGTATCATCTCCCTGATACTGAATTCCAGGTGTTTAATGTCCTCTGTGGTTTATTTTCTCAGGTGCAAAACAGCTAACTAACTCTACCTTGCAGATCCACAACTTATATCAGGATGCGCTTGCTTTCTGATTCTACGCTTGGTTTTTGCACAAGCAAGCGTGCCGTTCACAATCGGTGGGCATCAGGGGTGGGTTCTAAATTTTTTTACTACCGGTTCCGTGGGCGTGGCTTATTTTATGGGTGTGGCTTGGAGGTCATGTGACTAGGTGGGCATGGCTAGCTGGTCAGAGTCATTTCTGGAAGGTCCTCGCACTTACGACCAGTCCTCGTACTTACGACCCGACTCATTTGTTTGCTTTTAACACTGATCAGCTGTAGGGCGGCCCTTTGAAGCCCCGCAAGAGTTTAAACAGTTTTTTTCCCTCTAGTCATCAGCTGGGACTCAGGACGCAGCAATAGATTGGGGGTGGGACCAAATAAAAGGTAAGAATAACGTGGGGGGTGGGAGGGAGGGCGGGGGGGGAGAACCGGTTAGGTGATGTCATATCGTCACCGCTACCAGCTCGGCCGAACCGGACCGAACCAGGAGGAACCCACCACTGGTGGGCATTCATCGTGGATGTTGCACAAATTAAAAACTAAAAACCTCTTGCAAGATGCCAGAATCTCTTTCAATATTCAACAGAAAAGCTTATTACAATGTACCTGATACTTATAACCCCACCCTTGTAAGCATAAATTCTGGGTCAAATATTCATACAATTATCTCTCAAAGGTGCTTTTTCAAAAGGCGACTGGACTTTCTTTTTCTGTGAAGACGTTTCACTTCTCATCCAAGAATCTTCGTCATTTCTGACTGAATGGTGGAGAATGGGAGGATTTATATTCGTTGCAGTCATCTGGTCGTTAGCATTCTTTCTGAGAGTTGTTGAGGCCACTTGGAGGTTTAACTGAGCACTCAGGGTCAAGGAAAAAACAAAGAAAGCCCAGTTGCCTTTTGAGAAAGCACTTTTGGGACAACAAAGTCCTCCAAAGAATCTCCATAGATATTCACACAATATTTTTTGTTTTGGGGAAGGAACCACAGCTGAGTTCCAGAGTCCCACATTCAGTTGAAGTTCTATTTCAAACATTCAAGTATCAGAGGGAGGGAAGGGAATTCTTCCAGGAAGATTTCTGGAACATGGTTGTAAGTCGTAGAGGAGGTAGCATCCTGGTTGGACAAATACCTTGACAATATGAGAGAGCTTTCTAATGCATGAGACCATTAAATCTGTGGAAGAAATTCAGGTTTGTGCAAATTGCCAGCACTGTAACGCTCAAAGATTGGGCCCTAAAGCACCATCGTCCCTCTAAATGCCATCTCTAGGCTTTGCCCCCCAACCAGGGGTGAAATGCTCCCGGTTCGGACCGGATCACCCGATCCGGTAGCGATGGAGGCGGGTGGTTCGGAGAACCGGTAGCAAAAATCCCTGGCCCTCCCCCCATTGCCCAGCTGAGCCGCGCAATCATCAGAGGCCTTTTTTTTAATTTTTAAAAGCATTTTTTTTACAACCTTTTTGGCCGAAAAAATGCTTTTAAAAGTAAAAAAAAAAAAAAAAAAGCCTCTGGTGATTGTGTGGCTCAGCTGGGATTGTCAGAGGCTTTTTTTTAAAAAAAGAAAGCCTTTGCGATCAGGCAAGTGAGCTGGGATCGTCAGAGGCTTTAAAAGCATTTTTTTACAACCTCTTCAGCCGAAGAGGTTGTAGAAAAAATGGTTTTAAAAGTTAAAAAAAAAAAAGTTGGCCACGCCCACTCAGTCATATTACCCCCCCTCCCACCAAGCCACGCCCACAGTAACCAGTAGTAACAAATTTTACATTTCACCACTGCCCCCAACTAACGACAAATTATTTTGACAAACGGAAATCCAAAGACTTCCATCTTGCAAGTTTGCCGAATTTTGTAAAATGTTAGGATTCTTTCATGATACCTCACAAGGTTTCAGGAAAGAACACCAAAATCTTGTCGGATTTAAGTCCAGTACATCCTGCCAAGTTAGAGTGTATTTTTGTTTGTCTGTTTGCTTCCTTGATTTCTGACTGATTTATTTAAAGAATGTGGTAACCCCAATCAATCCTAGGAAGTTGATTCGTTCTCTGTCATCTTAGCACAAATCGGTAGACAATATTGAGTTCTTTACTTAAATGGTTCTACGCGGTTCCAAAATGAAATGGAGCATATATTACAGATTCGGTCTGTGACCCCATTATCATAATATACAATACACCAGAGGTGGGTTTCAGCAGGTTCTGACCAGTTCTGGAGAACCGGTAGCGGAAATTTTGAGTAGTTCAGAGAACCGGTAAATACCACCTGTGACTGGCCCCGCCCCCATCTATTCTCTGCCTCCCGAGTCCCAGCTGATTGGAAAGAAATGGGGATTTTACAGTATCCTTCCCCTGGAGTGGGGTGGGAATGGAGATTTTACAGTATCCTTCCCCTGGAGTGGGGTGGGAATGGAGATTTTACACTATCCTTCCCCTGGAGTGGGGTTGAAATGGAGATTTTACAGTATCCTTCCCCTACTATGCCCACCAAGCCACGCCCACCAAGCCACGCCATGCTCACCAAGCCACGCCCACAGAACCTGTAGCAAAAAAATTTGAATCCCACCATTGCAATACACATAGCAGAAACAGAATAGAAATCTATAAATATATAATCCTAGCACAGAATTAATTATAATATTGGCCACGTACAGAGGACATATAAATTGCAGCGATGCCCTCAAAACTTTGGAGAACAAAATAAACAAAGAGAGTACAAAACAGGTTGCAGTGAACATGTCTGCAAAGAGATGGAGTCCCTTCGTAACCATCTGCTAAAATCTATGTTGATGAAAAGAAGGCCAGGAAGGATAAATAGGAGCAGATGGCTCTTCAAATCATCAACCCGCAAGCTATTTAAACTTTTAAAGCTTAACTAAAGCTCTGAATTAGGCCTCCCACTGAGTGAGTACTGTACCTACAGGAGGTTTATCTCCCTGGAGGTGAGCTCACTGTTTAGTTTGATCAAGGGTGTTGTGGAGCACTGCTGGGTTAAGTTTGTTCCAAATTATGAATTGAGCTTCAAGAATAGCGCATTTCCGAGCAGGACAATTGCAACTTTAGCAGGCACTAAACCTTTATGGAAACTGAGACTAGATTTATTGGCTTTTATCAATTCCATTGAGCATTAATTTAAAAGACCTATCATCATCTTTTAACGATGGTCAGAACCTACTGAATACCACCTCTGAACAGAAGTGAAAATTGATTAATATATATCAGTTTTAAAGGAATGGGAATAAAAGGTAAAAGGTTAAGGGTTCCAGTCATGTCTGACTCTGCGGCATGATGCTCACCTCTGTTTCTTGACCGAGGGAGACAGTATTGTCCGAAGACAATTTCCAAAATCATGTGGCCTGCATGGCTCTATGTCAAAGGCTCACGGAATGCTATTAGCTTCCCACCGTAGTGGTACCTATTTATCTACTCACATTTTCATGCTTTCGAACTGCTAGGTTGGCAGGAGCTGCGGGGTGGGCAACTGAATGAAGCTAGCAGAGTTCTTTAATGGCCCGATGCCCTTCCTGTCACCAATGCGGAGTTTTGTTCAGCAGATATATTCTCATTGTACCCAGCAAGAGAAATATCTGCCTCTACCTAGGATCGAATTCACAACCTCCTGATTGCGAGGCGAGAACTCCACCTCTCGGCCACCGCATGACTCCTTTAATTTAAAAGACGTATATCTCCTGCTTTTAAAGAGCTGTATCTTCTATATATTCAGGTTCTTGACCCATTCTCTATATCAGGGGTGTCAAACTGGCAGCCCGCAGCCCGGATGCATCACATGCAAGCCCGCCCACCCCAGTTCCGCGAATGGGAAAAACATCGCGAAACATCACGTGATGCGGCGAGTTTGACACCCGTGCTCTATGTCATCTTGCCCATCAGGCCAAAGTTCTCAGGATCTCATGAGGCAGCATTTCTCAAACGTGGCATGTGGACTTCAACTCCCAGAATTCCCCAGCCAACATTCTGGGAGCTGAAGTCCACACATGTTAAAGTTGCCACAGTCAAGAAACACTGTTTTAAGGCATAATCCTCTTAGTTCTTGAAGACAGCTAGAGATTGACAGGAATGGACTTGAGTCTTTGACGTCACATGAATTCAATAGAATAGATAGAATATTTTATTGGCCAAGTGTGATTGGACACACAAGGAATTTCTCTTGGTGCATACGCTCTCAATATACATAAAAGAAAAAATACATTTGTCAAGAATCATAAGGTACAACATTTAAGGATAATCATATTGTATTATTGCTCGGGACAAAATAACAGGATCCCCCCCCAAAATGCATTCCATATGGTATTTATTTCCTTCTTCTAGACTAATGTCATCAAGCTGGAATTCATCCAATAAATAGTCACATTTTGGAGATGTTTTCATCTGAACGAAAAGTTTTTATAGTTAACCAGTAGTAAATCTGGATGACCATTGGTGTTCTTCCCCAGCTCTGGATTCCCAAGGATTGTGACACACACCAAAGGTCCTTATCAAAGTTATAACGTACTAAGAATAAAAAAATCCAGCAAAGGTTGGCAACCAGCCCAGAAAACAAGATACGATAAGACACTCACTCTCTAAAATGCTCTGTAATAATTACACGTTGTTTCCAGCAAGAAATTACTAACTGTGTGCAACTTAAATAGGCTAAGGGAGTGGCCAATTACCCTCAAACCTTACTCTCAAGGAGACCTCCTCCTCCTGAGTAGCCACTCCTGCCTCCTGCATTGAGGAGAGGCTCCTCCATTTCTCCCTCTCCACTTGAAGGAGCCTCTGGAGGTTCTGAAGGCCCAGGCTGAGTCTCTGCCTTTGACACCACATCCTCTTCAGCCTCCTCGCTGTCCGACACGAGTGCCGGCTGCGCAGGCTGCTGGCGCGACCCCACACCAGCCTCCTCGTCGTTGGGATCAGCCACGATCCACGCAGGCTGCTGACGGGCCACTACAGTTGGCTAGGGCTTCCCTGTATGCATATGTGGTAGGGGACATACCAGAGTTGCGATAAACTGCCATTCTGGTGTGTCTAAAACAACCAACAATTAGATATGCTTTGATTATATAATGTCTACACTCACCAGCCTTAACCATGATTTGCTAACTAAACCACAGAGAGCTGAGTTTATCGATAGAAGAGAATGGCTGTAGCTCAGAGTTGAATGGTGGGGTCTTTGCTCCTCTCTGAGCTTGGTGATTTTCTTGCAGATGTTTCATTAAGTAACATAATCAGTGCTGAGTTTACACAAGACATCAAATCTTCGTTGACAACCTTCAGAAATTTGCTTTCTTTCTGGCTTCCACAGGCATTACCACAGCATGGAAGTCTTTGCCCACTACGATCTGTTGGATAGCAACTGGACTCAAGTTGCCGAAGGCCACAAAGCCAGCTTTTGCCTGGAGGACAGTGACTGCATAGACGGTACATGTGTTTCTAACGTTATTTCAGTGCATTGTCAGTTGATTAGCACTCCTTAATCTCAGCTATTTTCCCACTTAACACCAGCATAGAGAATATGTCGAAGGCTGAGTCTCGGTGACCATTATGAGCCATGGTGGCGCAGTGGTTAGAGTGCAGTCCTGCAGGCTACTTCCGCTGACTGCCGGCTGCCTGCAATTTGGCAGTTCGAATCCCACCAGGCTCAAGGTTAACTCAGCCTTCCCTCCTTCCGAGGTGGGTAAAATGAGGACCCAGATGGTTGGGGGCAATAGGCTGGACTCTGTAAACTGCTTAGAGAGGGCTGTTAAGCACTGTGAAGCGGTATATAAGTCTAAGTGCTATGGCTATTGCTATTAAAATCAAATGGAGAATCAACCTTCCACCATCCACAATTCAATTTATCCACAAATCAGGCTGAAAAATGATTGAGAGTCTAGGACATTCCTGGGAATAAATCTTTAAAGATTATACTTTCCCCTTCAGAATCAAGAAAATACTAGTTCTAGGCCCTCATTCCTGTGGATATAGGAAACTGCTTTATGTTAAATCAGAAGGGTGGGCCAGTCCGATTTAGTATATCTCTATTGAAGTGAGCGGTGGGATGTGGTGGTCAGTAGCTAAGATGCTGAGCTTGTTGATCGAAAGGTTGGCCATTCAGCGGTTCGAATCCCTAGCGCCGCATAACGGGGTGAGCTCCCATTACTTGTCCCAGCTTCTGCCAACCTAGCAGTTCGAAAGCACGTAAAAAATGCAAGTAGAGAAATAGGGACCACCGTTGGTGGGAAGGTAACAACGTTCCGTGCACCTTTGGTGTTGAGTCATGCCAGCCACATGACCACGGAGACGTCTTCAGACAGAGGTGGCTCTCCGGCTTTGAAACGGAGATGAGCACCGCCCCCTAGAGTCGGGAACAACTAGCACATATGTGCGAGGGGAACTTTTACCTTTATTGAAGTGAGCAACATCTAAGGCTTTGCCCCACAAGCCTTCACTTCCTTCTGCCAAAGACTGTTACCCAACATCTCCTCCCAAGTCAACTGGCCATTGTGTAACCTCTTTTATGGAGATACCATTGAACAGGATATTTAATTACATGCTATGTCTATGGAGATTCTCAGTCATCCAGATCATAGTTGTTCCAAAGGTGCTTTTTCCAAAAAGCAACTGGACTTGGGTTTGTTTATGGTTTTTTTTGTCCCATTTGAAAATGTTCTCTACTCATCCAAGAAGCTTCTTCAGTTCCTTCTTCAAAAACCAAGGAAGTCCTGTTGCTGTTTGGAAGAAGCACCTTTGGGCCAGTGGTGAAATCCATTTTTTTTACTACCAGTTCTGTGGGCGTGGTTTGGTGGGCATGGTGTGGCTTGGGGGTGTGTGGTGTGGTTTGGTGGGCATGGCTTGGTGGGCATGGCAGGGGAAGGATACTGCAAAACCTCCATTCCTGTCAGGTGTGCTTCCTTCAAAGTCCAGGAAAGAATAAACCAAACTCCATCGTTTATAGAGAAATGTACTTTTACTAGAAAATGAAGTGAACGCAAGGAAAAGCTGAAACTAAAGCAATAGGCGCAAAAGTTGCAACTAGAAAGCATCCCCTCCCACTGTCCATCGTCAATCATCCAATCCAAAGGTCTCCCAGAGGTCAGGTGGAAGCACGTCTGGCATCGTCATCCATCAGGAACGCAATGACGGTTGGCCCAATAGCCCCTTCAGAGATTCGGTTTCGTTTCTTTGAAAATCCTCCAGCACGCTTCCCCCCGCCATGCTCCCTAGCTCTCCCCCTCCCATTTCTTATGGCAGCCAAAGCAGTAAAGGCGGAGGCTGACAATTCCCTCCCCACTCCAGGGGAAGGATACTGCAAAATCTCCATTCCCACCCCACTCCAGGGGGAAGGATATTGCAAAATCTCCATTCCCACCCCACTCCAGGGGGAAGGATATTGCAAAATCCCCATTCCCTCCCCACTTCTGGGGCCAGCCAGAGGTGGTACTTGCTGGTTCTCCGAACTACTCAAAATTTTTGCTACCGGTTCTCGAGAACCTGTCAGAACCTGCTGGATTTCACCCCTGCTTTGGGCTAATAATTACATGATATGCTTTATTCTTCGGGGGGAAAAAACAGACAACTTCCCATAACTTTTTAAAATGGGGGCCATTGGTCCTGGCATAGAAGTGGGTTTCCAGTTGCATAGGCCACATTCGTATTGGTGTGCTCATCTAAAGCAGGGGTCTCCAACCTTGGCAACTTTAAGACTTGTGGACTTCAACTCCCAGAATCTCCCAGATAGCATGACTGGCTGAGGAATTCTGGGAGTTGAAGTCCACAAGTCTTAAAGTTGCCAAGGTTGGAGATCTCTGATCTAAAGCATTATCCATAGATCACTTCTCTTATTGCGGTTTAGTTAAAACACCAAAGTGCCTTCCAATACGTTGATACTACCATACCTTTCTACTGACTTCCTTCTTAGGAGTCCAGAAGCAGTACGAGTGTGCAAACTTTGGGGAGCAAGGGATCTCTGTCGGATGCTATGACGTGTATCGGCATGATATTGATTGCCAGTGGATTGACGTTACTGATCTCAAACCAGGAGACTACATCTTCCGGGTAAGCCGTGATTCCTCCAGGGAATGGTAACCATGGGCCTCGTTTGCAGAATAGAAGCAACCCAGCCTCTCTCTTTGCCAGCCAGTTGACTACAGGTAGTCCTCGACTTACAACAGTTCGCTTTTGTGACCGTTAACAACGGCACTGAAAAAAGTGACTTATGGCCATTTTTCAACAGTTACAACTTTGCAGCGCTCCATGATCAGGCGATTGTTCTGCCCCAGCTACAGACCACAAAGAATGCAGCACACACAAAGTCCGTACATACCTTAGTTTACTAATTAAGGACTACTAATGAGCTTTCTTAATAGTTGTTCAAACACAAGTCTTTTCTGAACAAAGGCTGTTAATTTAACTTCATTAACAGCTGACAAGAGTCCAAGGAATAATAACTCAATTCTGAGGCACAGTCTTTCAGATAACCATAAACTTACTGTGGTTGGCAGAATGCCCAGAAGCAATTTGCAGGAAAAATGATAAGAGAGAAGCAAGAGCCGATCAGACATTTCTGGAGTCAATACGTGAAGAAATATGAACGCAGTTGTTTTCTGCAAATTGCCTCAGTCGTCGTCATTCCTTAAATAGGCTAGGGGAGTAGCCAATTAGCCCCAAGCCTTACTCTCGAGAAGACCTCCTCCTGAGGAGCCACTCCTGCCTTTTGGCAGCTCTGCGCGCCCGTGCATCGAGAAGAGGCTCCTCCTCTTCTTCCTCTTCACTTATGGGAGCTTCTGGAGGTTCTGAAGGCCCTGGCTGAATCCCCGCCTCTGGCACCACATCTTCTCCAGCCTCCTCATTGTCTGACTTGGGTGCCAGCTGCACAGGCTGCTGGCAAATCACCACACCAGCCTCCTCGCTGTCGGAATCAGCTACCAGCTGCACAGGCCACTGGTGGGCCACAACAGCGATCAAAATTCAGACGCTTGGCAACTGGTTCATACTTATGACGGTTACAGCATCCCAGGGTCACATTTGGCGACTTTCTGACAAGCAAAGTCAATGAGGAAGCCAGATTTCAGAGCCGCGGTGGCACAGTGGTTAGAATGCAGTACTGCAGGCTACTTCTGCTGCCTGCCGGCTGCCTGGAATTTGGCCCATGGTGAAATAAAAGTTGAGAACCACAGACAAAAATGGAAGGGCACTTCGATTCCCACCATGGATGAATGGTTGCAGAAGCTGATGGGAATTGGCTAAAATGGCAAAATTGGCTATCTTGTTTAAAGAAAAGACCATAAGTACTTTGGTTTCCACCTGGAAACCGCTTCTAAGCTTTGTGCTTGAAGTGGGAAAAGTATGAAACTTTGATTTTGGGTTTTACCGATTAGACTGATAGATTCCTTATAGACATGGCTAGTAGTTGATATTATTATGAAAAAAAACAGAAAGTTGTGGTTTGATGTTAATGCCTTATTTTACTGCAATGGAGAGAGTTCGAAGTCAATGCTTCTTTTTCTCTTTCCTAATCCTTCCCCACTTTTCTTTCCTCCGCCTCCTCCCCACTCTCTTCCTATTTACTTTGGTATTTTGTATCTTATTTTATCTTGTAACTCAATAAAAATGTTAAACTAGGAAAATATTTACAGTCGTGGCCAAAACTGTGGAAACCTTTTGGGAAAAGTGTATTTTCTAAAACTAGCTAATAACACCACTTTTTTTGGAGTAGTACCAGTGGTGGGATTCGGTCAGTTCGGGAGAACTGGTTGTTAACTTTCTGAGCAGTTTGGAAAACTGGTTGTTGGAAGAAATCATTAGGGCAGAGAACCAGTTGTTAAATTACCTGAATCCCACCACTGAGTAGTACCATAAAATTATATATCAATGGAAAGATAATTTAATCAAGAATGTAATGCAATAACTTTTATGAAGGATTTGCTATTAGAATAGCAGTTATAAAGAAGAAAAGTGAAACGTGATAGACAAAGGTGATCACCATAGAAAAAACGAGATATACAAAAATGATCACCATGTTCGGTAACCTTTAGCATGAATTACGGCCTTACAACGTCTTCCCATGGAGTGAACCAAGTCTTTTAGTTCTGCAGCTGTTCTAATGTGAAACCAAGATAGAATGATGGCTTCTATTAACTGGGTTTTATTGCTGGGTCGCTTCTGACTAACAAGTTTCTTTAGTTGGCTCCATAGATTTTCAATTAGGTTAAGGTCTGGGCTATTCCCAGGCCATTCCAGCAGTGGAATAGGATTATCTTAAAACTCCAAAAAAAAAAAAAAGTGGTGTTATTAGCCATCAAACCTCAAACATACACTTTTCCCAAAAGGTTTCCACAATTTTGGCCACTGCTGTACAATTATGAAAGGCAAAAATAATTTTAAAAAAAGGGTGAGAACCACTTTCTTTGGCTATTTTAACTCCAGTAAATACAATGGCTGCATCAGTTTGTGCTAGAAAATTGTTTGCTAGCAATGAGTAATTGAAGTCTCCCCTTTTTTACGTGTGAGATGTAAAAAGAGATGGGGCTTCAATTGCATGATCAAAGTAACTTTTCTTACACGCACCCAATCAAAATTATATCTCCAATTAGATCACACTAAAATTCCCAATTATCTTTTCCCAGATCATTGTTAATCCGAACTTTGAAGTGGCAGAGTCTGATTATTCCAACAATGTGATGCTATGTAACGTCAGGTATGGGCCACAACGCGTATGGGTATTCAACTGCCATATAGGTAAGTTTGGCTTTTACTTTTCTTTTTCTTTTTTTTTTATAAACAACGACTTGCAGGGATGAGCTTTGTATCAATGAAATAGTTCTCAGTTCTTCAAGATCAGGAAACAGAGTATAGCAATGCTATCAAAACTCTACAGCTGCAGGATCTTGAAAGCCTGGCAAACTTTCTCCTCCCTCTCTCTGTCTCTCTCTGACTCTCTCTCTCTCTGTCTCTGTCTCTCTCTGTGTATCTGTGTGTCTCTGTGTGTCTCTCTCTGTGTGTGTATGTCTCTCTCTCTCTGTCTCTCTTTCTCTCTCTCTCTCTGTGTGTATCTGTGTGGGTGTATCTGTGGGCGTGTGTCTCTGTTTCGGTGTCTCTGTCTCTCAGTGTGTGTGTGTTTCTCTATGTCTCTGTCTCTGTCTCTCGGTGTATTTCTGCATGTCTCTCTCTGTCTCTCAGTCTGTCTCTCTCTGACTCTCTCTCTGTCTCTTTCTCTCTCTCTCTCTGTATCTGGGTCTCTGTGTGTGTATCTCTCTCTCTCTCTCTCTCTCTCTCTGTCTCTTTCTCTCTCTCTCTCTGTATCTGGGTCTCTGTGTGTGTATCTCTCTCTCTCTCTCTCTCTCTCTCTCTCTTTCTCTCTCTCTCTCTCTCTTTGTGTGTATCTGTGTGTCTCTGTGTGTCTCTCTCTGTGTGTGTATGTCTCTCTCTCTCTCTGTCTCTCTCTCTCTTTCTCTCTGTCTCTCTCTCTCTCTCTGTGTATCTGTGTGGGTGTATCTGTGTGCATGTGTCTCTGTTCGGGTGTCTCTCGGTGTGTGTGTGTTTCTCTATGTCTCTGTCTCTGTCTCTCGGTGTATTTCTGCATGTCTCTCTCTGTCTCTCAGTCTGTCTCTCTCTGACTCTCTCTCTGTCTCTTTCTCTCTCTCTCTCTGTATCTGGGTCTCTGTGTGTGTATCTCTCTCTCTCTCTCTTTCTCTCTCTGTCTGTCTGTCTCTCTCTGTCTGTCTCTCTCTCTCTCTGTATCTGTGTGGGTGTGTCTCTGTGTGTATGTCTCTCTGTCTCTCGGTGTGTGTGTGTTTCTCTATGTCTCTGTCTCTGTCTCTGTCTCTGTCTCTGTATCTGTGTGTCTCTCTGTGTGTATGTCTCTCTATATGTGTGTGTGTATCTGTGTGTATGTGTCTCTGTGTGTGTGTGTCTGTCTCTCGGTGTGTGTGTGTTTCTCTATGTCTCTGTCTCTCTCTCTGTATCTGTGTGTCTCTGTGTGTATGTCTCTCTCTCTCTGTGTGTGTGTCTGTGTGGGTGTGTCTGTGTGGGTGTGTCTCTCTGTTTCCCCGTGTGTGTGTGTTTCTCTATGTCTCTGTCTCTCTCTTTGTATCTGTGTGTCTCTGTGTGTATGTCTGTGTGTGTGTGTGTATCTGTGTGGGTGTGGGTGTGTGTCTCCCTGTCTCTCGGTGTGTGTGTGTTTCTCTATGTCTCTGTCTCTGTCTCTGTATGTATTTCTCTGCGTGTCTCTCTGTCTCTCAATCTGTCTGTCTGTCTGTCTGTCTGTCTCTCTCTCTCTCTCTCTGTGCCTATCTCTATGTATCTCTCTGTATGTATGTCTCTGTATCTTTCTCTGTGTGTATCTCTCTCTCTCTCTCTCTCTCTCTCTCTCTCTCTCTCTTGTTCTGAAGAGAATCAAGACAGAGCAGCGTTGAGTTTCTTTCTCACCCTACCTCTCTCAAGGCTCTGCTGGTGTTTATAAAATTGCCCTCATGTTCCTTCTTTCAAGCTGTCTCTTGAAAGAATATTCAATACAATAATTGAATTGCTTGTATCCAAAACAGTGTAAGAAAAAAAAATTTTTTTTTTTAATTAAACATCCCATTAATTTAATTGTTCATTTGTTAAATTATGATACTTTTGTGATTGAATTAGAACTGGTTCATCGGTTTCTGAAACTCCCATTTAGAAGGTCATCCTAGAATCCTGCAAGGGTTGTTGCTTTTTTTTGCACACACTGGATAAATTTCCAGGAAGCTTATCACGTATCTAAAAGGCACAAATGCCAACTGGGAAATTCACCTGTTTTGAAAAGCAAAGTTAAAAATCAGCCTTATCTGGACATTTCCCTGTGCGTTTCACTTAACAACTGCATTGATTTGCTTAACAACGGGGGCAAAATAAAAGTTCATAAGATCGGGCATGACTCCAGTGGAAATTCTGTCCCCAATTGTGGCTGTGGAGGAATAATTGTGGTTATTCCTCCACTACAGGTTGAGGAATACCTGTAGTTTTTCATCTTTTGCACTTAGTTGACTGTCTCTTCTCTCTTTTTTTCTCCTTTCTCACAGCCAACTCTTACTACGAACCAGACCAAAAAGAATATTTCAATGGACTTTGGAACAATCAGGTGTTTTAACTTTAGACCCTCTGTTTAATTAAAAAAAAAAAAAAGGAATAAAAAAAAAAAAGAGAAAGGCCTTTCCCCATGATTTCCCTAACCATTGCTCGGAAAACTGAAGTTAAGCAATGAACGTTTTCACGTTAGCTCTGTAAGTTATTTTTCAAGGATGTTACTCCAAAATCTACTTTGCAACATTTAGCAGAAGGAAACCGCAGCGGCAGACTCAAATTTCACACCGTTCCAAGAGAAGGAAGGTTTTGGACTAGCTGTACGACTTTGCTTCCCTCCATGTACTTCAACCCTTTGCAAACTCTCACTCATTCCCACTTGATCCACTGCAGCGTTCGAAGAGGCACCTGACTGACAACTCAGCAAGGATTTGATGCTCAGAGTTACCTTCTTCTTCTTCTTTTTTTTTTTTTTGAGGACTTCTCTTTCAGCCTCAGTAGTTTGTCTTGCAGACGTTCGAAAATCTGACTCTATGCCACTGGTGGGAGGTCACCTTTCTTTCCTCTTAGCCTGCTCACATCCTCTTAGCCTGCTCACAAGAACATGGGTGATTATTTGATTTTGGGAGGGGAAAAACAGGGGAAACTGTCAGTAGGGCAAGGAAAATATGGCCATCCTAACTTCCATCTTGGTTTTAAAAACCACTAGAATGTGAATTTTTTGAAACACAGTAAGCCAGGGGTATCAAACTCAAAGCCCGCAGGCTGGATCTGGCCTGCGGGGTGCTTAGATCTGGCCCACGCCCCCCCTGGAAATAGTGAAGGACCAGCCTGAAGTGCCTCTGCCAGCAAAAATGGAGGTACCGTGTTTCCCCGAAAATAAGACCCTGTCTTATATTTTTTTGAACTCTGAAATAAGCACTTGGCCTTATTGCCATGTGCTCAAAAGCCCGATTGGGCTTATTATCAGGGGATGTCTTATTTTGGGGGAAACAGGGTAAGGAGGGCCGCGTGCTCCATTTTCATTGACAGAGGGCTCAGGCCACCACAGGTGCCCCCGACACGAGGGACGTCGAGCTGGCCACATCCACCCTGGCCACGCCTCACCCGGCTCCCCCAAAGTCAAACACAACCCTGATGCGGCCCTCAATGAAATCAAGTTTGACACCCCTGCAGTAAGCTGTTCACCTGCTCTGCCTTATCCATGTCTTTTCCGTCCACGCCACCCCACCCTTAGCCACATATTTCCTTCCTGTCAATATTAAGAAATACATCTACTATATCAGAGGTGGGTTTCAGCAGATTCTGACCAGTTCTGGAGAACCAGTAACGGAAATTTTGAGTAGTTTGGAGAATCGGTAACTACCACCTCTGACTGGCCCCGCCCCCATCTATTTTCTGCCTCCCGAGTCCCAGCTGATTGGGAGGAAATGGGGATTTTGCAGTAGCCTTCCCCTGGAGTGGGGAGGGAATGGAGATTTCACAGTATCCTTCCCCTGGAGTGGGGTGGAAATGGAGATTTTACAGTATCCTTCCCCTGGAGTGGGGTGGGAATGGAGATTTTACAGTATCCTTCCCCTGCCACGCCCATCAAGCCATGCCACGCCCACAGAACCGTTAGTAGAAAAATTTGAATCCCACCACTGAACTATGCCAAGCTTTTCCCACGATAGACCTCTTCCCTATTTTATTACAGCAAACTGTTCTACGATGTCTTGTAAGGATTTTTTTTAAAAACGAATTTCTTAGGACACATTTTACATGGGAGTCCTTGAAGGGGTTCCAAAAATCAAGATGGCAACTCCCAACCATGTGACTGTAGCCATCTTGACTTTTTGATGACAACCCTATCTTTAGTAAATGTATGATGGTGCTAAGCACATTTGCCTCTGTTTGTTTGAGGCCATGCATTCCTGCAGAAAACCATTCCTACTTGAATATATTTATTTTTTTTCCGCGTTTTTAAAGGAAAGGCCTTTTACCCAGGGAGACAGTTTGTATACAGTACTTCCGAAGGAAATTTAAAAAAAAAAAACAATCCAGAAAGGGTTCCCATTTTCTTACTTTTACGATCCTGTACAAAAGAGGGAACTGCAAACTCGAGCTATGGATTTGCTGCAGGGGAATCAGAGCCCCACGTCCAGCAGTTTTGTTTCTAAAATAATAACAATAACAATAATAATCGGAGATGTTTTTGGAGGCTCAAAAAGCCGAACGTGAACTTTGATCTATTGTTTCTTTCAAGCATCCAGTGACTAAGAGTAGATTGCCTCTGACTGTGGACGTTACTAGTTATTGCTGCATCAAGACTTTAAACCAGTAGTGGGTTTCACTTACCTTCGCTACCGGTTCGGAACTGTGAGCGCGTGCACACGCTCGCTTTGTTCGTGCGCGGCGCTTCTGCACATGCTCAGAACCTTCTGCGCACGCGCAGAGCAGTGGTGGGTTCCTCCTGGTTCGGCCTGGTTCGGCCAAGCCGGTAGCAGTGACGATATGACGTCACCGAACCGGTTCTCTTTGTTCGGGAGCTGGGCCCTCCTGCACCACCACCACCCCCGTTATTCTTACCTTTTATTTGGCCCCGCCCCCAATCTATTTGCTGCCTCCCAAGTCCCAGCTGATCAGCTAGAAGGAAAAAAACTGTTTAAACTCTTGCCACGGGGGCCGCCCTACAGCTGATCAGTGTTAAAAGGCAGTGTGGTGGTAGACCAGGGTGCTCGAAAAACAAATGGGTAGACCAGTGTCTCCAAAAACAAATGAGTAGACCGGTGCCTCCAAAAACAAATGAGTAGACCGGTGCCTCCAAAAACAAATGAGTAGACCGGTGCCTCCAAAAACAAATGAGTAGACTGGTGCCTCCAAAAACAAATAAGTAGACCGGTGCCTCCAAAAACAAATGGGTAGACCAGTGCCTCCAAAAACAAATGAGTAGACCGGTGCCTCCAAAAACAAATGAGTAGACCGGTGCCTCCAAAAACAAATGAGTAGACCGGTACAGCTCTGCAAGCAGTTAAAAGCCTGGTAGACCAGTACCTCTGCTAAATCCTAAAGAATTGTCACATGACCATCATGCTACGCCCATAAAATAAGCCACGCCCACAGAACCGGTAGTAAAAAAATTTAGAACCCACCCCTGGCTCAGAGCATCCGTGATGACATCCGGCAGGTGGGCGGAGCCTCCCACCAAACTAGGGCGAACCGGTAGAAACCCACCACTGCTTTAAACCCACCGTATTTGGGGACTATTAAGAAAGAAGGAATTCAATGTAACTAAAGCAGCGGTGTCAAACTCAAGGTCCAAGGTAATTAGATCTGGCCCTGGAAACAGTGAAGGCCCGGTCTGCGGTACTTCTGCCAGTGAAAACGGGCTCCCAAGCTCCGTTTTCAGCTGCAACGGCCTCCTGCAACCTTCTGTCAGTGAAAACGGAGCTCGGGAGGGTCGTGTGCGGTGCTCCGACACGAATGGCATCAAGCTGGCCACGCCCCCGTTCCTCCTCCCAAGGTCAAACACAACCTCGATGCGGCCCTGAATGAAGTCGAGTTTGACACCCCTGATCTAAAGCGAAAAGACAAAACATAAAATGATTTAAAAGCCTTCCAATTCTTGAAAACTCATTCCTTGGCTGCTTTAGGGAAGAGAAAATAAATAAATCCGTAACCAGAGAGGGGAATCACGTTATCAAAAAGAGTGTCTCGTCCAGTACTGTGGAGATTTATGCAAACCAAGTTCATTCAACTCTTCTTGATCAGGGACACTGTGAATTATTATTATTATTATTTTTTAATAGCCATCCGTTCCCTTTTTCTTGCTCGCTCTGCTGATTCTTGCTTGTCGAATGAGAACTAGTACAGACACGTTGGTTGGGAGGAATAAGCTAAGAGGATTTTAAAATGGTATTTTGCACAGGTATAAGTGTTGTATGAATAAACTGAGATTATGCTGACCATTTGTAGACTTTCTTTTAAAAGGTTGCACTAACGAACTTTCAGAGCTGGTTCTCTCCACAACAGATCTCTCATCACACAATGGGCATGACAAGACTAATTGCCCATTCACAAAACTATGTTTGAACTGATCTTCCTTCCTTCCTTCCTTCCTTCCTTCCTTCCTTCCTTCCTTCCTTCCTTCCTTCCTTCTTTCCTTCCTTCCTTCCTTCCGAGGTGGGTTTCAGCAGGTTCTGACCAGTTCTGGAGAACCGGTAGCGGAAATTTTTAGTAGTTCGGAGAACCGGTAGTAAAAATTCTGACTGGCCCCTCCCCATCTATTCTCTGCCTCCCAAGTCCCAGCTGATCAGGAGGACATGGGGATTTTGCAGTAACCTTCCCCTGGATCATTTTTTTTTGTCCGGCCATTAGTTTAACCAGACAAACCCAGATTTAATTTGACCAAGGAACGTACCTCTTAAAGCTTGTGTGCTAGTTCTGTGACGCTCAAAAATCACGACCAATCTCAGCAAAATCCAGGCTGGGAAGTATCCGATTTGGCCAGTGGACTACTTCAGAGGTCTCCAACCTTGGCAACTTTAAGCCTGGAGGACTTGGGAGCAAAGCTGGCTGGGGAATTCTGGGAGTTGAAGTCCTCCAGGCTTAAAGTTGCCAAGGTTGGAGACCCCTGAACTAGAACGCATCTCTTAGAAGGGTGATAAGTCTTCACCCACCACTGAATGCCTATCACAGACTGCCCAAAGACTGCCCCGACTCAACTTTTCTAAACTGTCAAAGGCAGCAAACAAAAGAGGATTTGAGCAAATCACTGAGCATTTTGGCTTGGATGTGAACAATTTAAATTTTTTGTAAAAACAAATGAACAGTGGAGTCAGTAAACAAGTCAATGGCTTCTGCAAATAGATGGTTTAGTGTCTTCAGTGTTTTCACACACCATCTAATTAGGCACATAATCTAATTAGACCTGTAGTCCATCATGAGAGGGCCAAGAAATCATTCCCCCACATGAATTTGAAAATCAAAAGTTGCAGCTGCATGTGTCAACCCTGAGGCTGACCTGACTGAAGCCATTTTTATCACTTCAGTGTTGCTACACTGGAGCTAAGGGATAGGGAGGGGGGATTTGAGATAGAGGGGTTTCTGTAGCCAAAAACCCCCCCATATTTTCTCTTGGGAACCAAGGACATTCTCACTGGTCGGAAGAAGGCGGAGTGATGCTACCCAGTTGCCGGATCACACCGTGATTGGACCATCTGACTTTTTTGAGAAAGTGAACAAACTTTTAATTAGGTGAAAACCTCAGGAACCCTCAGAGTCGGTTTTCAGCAGATAAGTGCCAATATGATAATTCCTAATAAAAGTCATCTTTGAGGAATCTGCATGACTTGGAGTCTTGCTTGCTATGGATTTATTACCATATTTTTCAGAGTATAAGATGCACCTTTTTCCCCCCAAAAAAGAGGGTGAAAATCTGGGTGCGTCTTATTCTTCGAATGTAGCCCTGCCCAGCTTCTCAAACGGAGGTTTCAGAGGCTGAAAAAAGCATCAGAAAGGAAGCTTCAGAAAAGAAACCCTCTAACAGAGCTTCAGAAAAGAAGCCTCTAAACAGAGCTTCAGAAAAGAAGCCTCCAAACAGAGCTCCAGAAAAGAAGCCCCCAAACAGAGCTTCAGAAAAGGAGCCCCCAAACAGAGCTTCAGAAAAGAAGCCCTCAAACAGAGCTTCAGAAAAGAAGCCCCCAAACAGAGCTTCAGAAAAGAAGCCCCCAAACAGAGCTTCAGAAAAGAAACCCCCAAACAGAGCTTCAGAGGCTTTTTTTCTGAAGCTCTGTTTTGGAGGCTTTCAGAGGCAGGAAAAAAAGTTTTTTCTGAAACAGAGTTTCAGAAGTTTCAGAGGCAGCAAAAAAAAAAAAGCAAGGCACAGAGCTCACAACTAAGAAACCTGTTGCTCAAATTCACCTCTGGGGACAGCTGATTGGGGTATTCCGGGAGGCTGATCCACCTGCCAATCAGCTTTTTTCTTATTTTCCTCCCCAAAAACTAAGGTGCATCTTATACTCTGAAAAATACGGTACTTGGAACCTGACAGCATGCTTATTGCTTTCGAAAATAGAAAAAAGGCAGAATTAAAGCAATGCCATTTTCCACAAATAAAGGCAAATATATGTGTCCCAGGTTAATGTTGCAGGACCCAATCCGGATCGGTCACTGGGACGAGAGGTTTACTCTTCTGAGCTTTCAGACTCATGCTGGAATCCATCCTCGGGGAACTTCTCTCTACCGGGAGGTGTGGTAGACAGAAGTTCTTCTCTCTCTCTCTCCCTCCCTCCCTCCCTCCCTCCCTCCCGCTCTCTTCTACTCTCTACATTTCGGTAAAGAGAAGTTCCCCCAGGATGGACTCCAACATTAGTCTAAAAGCTCGGAAGATTAAACCTCTGGTCCTGGTGACCGACCCAGATTGTATCCTGTAATACCAATTCATCTACTTCATCTAAGACAGGGGTGTCAAACTCAAGGCCGACGAACCGGATTCGGCCCATGTGGCTGCCCTGGAAATAAGCAAAAAAACAGACTGTGGTGCCTCTGCCAGTGAAAGCAGAGCTTAGGGGGCCACACACACCCCTGGACCCCGTTTTTGCCTCTTAGAGGGCTTCAGGAGGCCGTCGTGGCTGAAAATGCAGCCCAGGGGGGGTGCACGTGCCCCCCCAGCCCCGTTTTCACTGGCACAGGGCTAGCAAAACAAACTAAAATGTTTCCCCCTTTGCATTTGAACATACAAGAAGGAACAGGAAAGGAGAAAGGGAGAGGAAAGACAAAGACAAAGAAAAAGAAAAGGGGAAGATGGAAAGAGAGCAAGGAAGGGAAAAGAAGGCAAGAAGGGGAAGGAAGAAGAAAGGAGAATGAAGAGGGAAGGAAAAAGAAAAGAAAAGAAAAGAAAAGAAAAGAAAAGAAAAGAAAGGAAGGAAGGAAGGAAGGAAGGAAGGAAGGAAGGAAGGAAGGAAGGAAGGAAGGAAGGAAGGAAGGAAGGAAGGAGGTAATGTGAGGGAGGATCTGAGGGAAGTCCTGCCTTAGCCACCACAGGTGCCCCCAACACAAGTGATGTTGAGCTGGCCACGCCCACCCTGACCATGCCTACCACAGCCACACCCACTCCGCTCCCCCCAGGTCAAACACGACCCTGATGCGGCCCTCATTTAAATCGAGTTTGACACCCCTGATCTAAGCCATTACATAACGTGTTTCCCCGAATATAAGACCCTGTCTTATATTTTTTAGAACCCTGAAATAAGCGCTTGGCCTTATTGCCATGCGCTCAAAAGCCCAATTGTGCTTATTATCAGGGGATGTCTTATTTTGGGGGAAACCGGAGAGAAATGGCAAGAGAGCACTAACTATATTTCAGTCCTTCCTTTTTTTCCAATTGCTTTTCCCAAAAGTGGATAGCTACCATCTAGGGCTGTGCAACACTTTCAGTTCCAAGAACCTGCTTTCAGAGGGCACCGAGAAGCTAACGTTACACCCTTCTAGAACTTTTAGCCATCCTTCTGAAGTCAAGCGTTAGCTGCAGAAACCGTCCCAGGTCCCGGGTGCTTGAAGGAGCTGCGGATAAGGTTCCGTTCATCACCCTGCTTGCTCTGAAAGATCTCTTGGGAATCCAAAACTCAATCCGCTGGAATCCCAACGTGTTATTTCTCAAATGTATTTGCAAGCTGAAACTGGGCAAGGTATCAACTGGGTTCTGTCTGTGGGTTATGAAACCAGAGCGACTGATTTGACCGATAGATCAAAAAGCTACAGTATGTTCTTCCCAGCCAAGGAATTCTCCTGTCTCCAGCCCGTAACCTGAGAGTAACCCGAGCTTTGAAAGGGACGGCGCATTTGGGAGGAGAGACAAAAGCCACGAGGAGGAAAGGAAAACGTTTGATACCAGTTTGAAAGAATTTTAATTCTGTCTCGTTGACGGCAATGAGATGCTAGTTGCAGCCAACTTTTTGCAGAGCGGTTTAAAAAAAACAGGTTTCAGAAACTAATCGGTCCTATCACTTCCATGCTAACAAAGGTGTTCAATCAAGGTATTTCTGGCAAATCCTTTGAGTTGGCGGACGAAGCTCTTCTCTTAGGCTACAGTGCCCTCCTGTGGAGCCTTCCCGGATCGGCCTCCGTCCCATTCATCAATTCCCACGGATTAACTTCCCAAACCAACTTGGGAATTTTCCAGTTCCAACACACATCAAGTTGTGATTATTGCCACCGGCCTGTCGTTACTTCAAAACAACAACAACAATAACACCAACGCAACCCAAAAAAAAAAAAAAAAAAAGAACAGATGAGACCCGCCATCATCACACAGTTGTATACATTGTTTTAATGCCACCCCAAAGTCACTTCAAACCACTCTGGTTTTAATCTGGCAGGTTGGTGGTTGCCGATTCCAATCCTTGGCAGCCTGAATTCTGCTGATATTTGCGCTGTAATCCTAAGGCTCTGGTTACTAGTCGTCGGGCTACTGCTGTATCTGTTGGGGGTCTTTCTTTAGCCAGCTGAAGGAGCTCTGAGGAAGGAAAAAAAAAAGAGAGAAAGATGGCAGAGAAGGAATAGAAGAATTGGAAAAGAACTGGAAAAGGAGTCTTATGAAGCCTGGCGCAATGATCTCGAAGCCACAAATCATTTTATTTCATGAAGTAGATCAGATCTAATCTAAATGTACAGAGGACTTTGATGTTAGAATTTCTCTCTCTCTCTCTCCATACATACATACATGCATACATACATACGTTTTCAAAGAACGTTAAAATACAAAATTCGGGAAAAAAAGGGTTTTTTACCAAAATAAACAAAGAATACAAAAAATAGATTAAAAATGTGCTTTAACAAAACACACACAGAGACACACACACACATATATACACACTAGCGGTGAAATCCGTTTACCTTCGCTACCGGTTTGGGAAACGGTAGCATGCACAGATGGTAAAAAACCGGGACGTAATGACGTCCCGGCGCGTGGGCGGAGCCTCCCGCCGCTGGCGCTATCAGTTCGGCGAGTCAGATAGAACCAGGGGGGATTTCACCGCTGATATAAACATACACATACAGGTAGTCCTCAATTTACAAGTTCATTTAGTGACCGTTCAAAATTATAACGGCACTGAAAAAATTGATCGCTTTTCACACTTAATGTCCGTTGCAGCCTCCCTATGGTCACGTGATCAAAATTCAGACACTTGGCAACTGGCAGGTACTTATGACAGTTGCAGCATCCTGAGCAGGGTGGATTTGATTTAAATCAAGTTGATTTAAATCACAATTTAAATCATGATTTAAATCACTAGTGAAAAGGCTTGATTTAAATCAACTCGATTTAAAGCATAATTTTTAAAGAGCAACTGTCATCTCTGCTACTCCTTTGACCCGCTGTTGACTCACCGATAGTCCCAGTGTTGCAGAATATACAGCCTCGTGCTACATAACTAAGCTCCATTTCATGCTGAATAAACTAAATTATTTATGTATCTTAAATAGAAAACTATCTTATGATAGATTTTTACCCCAAATGTTTTTTATTAAAATAAATTCGATAAAAATCAAAAAAATCCGATTTAAATCAAAAAAATCCGATTTAAATAAAAAAAAATCTGATTTTTTTGATTTTTTAAAAAAATCATTGATTTTTATCCACCCTAGTCCTAAGGTCATGTGATCCCCATTTGCGACCTCCTGACAAGCCAAGTCAATGGGGAAGTCAGAGTCTCTTAACAACCGTGTCACTAATTTAACAACTGCTGTGATTCACTTAACAAGCGTGGCAAGAAAGGTCGTAAAAGGGGGGAGGGGCAAAATTCACGTCACAAATGTCTCCCTTAGGAACAAGAATTTGGGGCTCAATTGTGGTTATCGGTTGAGGATTATCTGTATTACCCTCTCTAGTTGAATACTAATCAATATCAATCAATGTTTTAAATTTCTGGGGTTTTAAATTGAGCCGAATTATTTAATAATTTTAAATAATTTTAATTGAGGTTTGTTTTGTGCTTTTAATAGGCTGTACACCGCCCTGAGTCCTTCGGGAGAAGGGCGGTATAGAAATAAAATTATTTATTTAGTTATTTATTTTTAATATACTGCAACAGGATATTGCAGGATATGCACTTGCCAAACAGGCCCGAAATTTTTGAACTTCTAACTCTATTTGCAAATTATTAACCAGTCATCTATCTATTTGCAGAGGTCTTCAAACTTGGCAGCTTTAAAACTTGTGGACTTCAACTCCCAGATTTCTGGAAGTTGAAGTCCACAAGTCTTAAAGCTGCCAAGTTTGAAGACCTCTGATCTATTATATGAATAACAAAAAAAGTTAATAGGCAACACAACAAAAAGAGACAAGGTTAAAATTTCAAGACCCTCTGTTAACAATCTATGATTGTATTCAACTCAGAAACTTTATCATGGCTTCTTATCTATCTCAAATTATCCCAACAGTTAACAGATGGTGGAATTTCTGCCCCACTAAAGGTCGGACAGTTTTAATGCTTTTTCCTCTAGAATAAAGTTTTAGTACTTTCTCCTGTAATAAGCCAAGTTTAGGTAGAAGCAGCTAGCCAGCAAGAAGCCGAGCTGGAATTGACCTGGTTGATACCTGAATAGGAGACCATGAGTAAATCCCAGAGTTCTAGACTAGACTTCAAAGTCATAAAAACATCCCAGGAGAAGGCAGGACCAAGTCTGTATTAAAGTCAACACAACTACATTGGTGTGCTCATAGAATGACGTGAAATCAGGTTTCAAGGGAGTCTTTGCAACCATGTAACACAGAGAAACTTTATGTAATGGGTAGAAGGAACAACCCTGAGGAATGGGAGGAAAAACCAATACAGCAGGGGTTTCAAATTCAAGGACCAGGGGCCGGATCTGGTCTACGGGGTACTTAGATCTGGCCTGCGGGGTCGCCCTAGAAACAGCAAAGAACCAGCCGCAGTGTCTCTGCCATCGAAAATGGAGCTCAGGAGGGCCATGTTTTTGCTGGCAGAGGGTTGAAGGAAGCCATCCAGTGGTGGGTTGCCCCCGGTTCGGATCGGTTCGCAAAAACCAGTAGTAAACCAGCGGGAGGCTCTGCCCACTGACCCGGATGTTATCAAAGTTGATCTGCGCATGCGGGCATGATGTGAACCGGTTGTCAGGTTTCGAGGTCGTCTCAAATAAATTGCATTTCAAACAAAGTCTTTGAAGAAAAACTCCCATTTATTAAGCACGACATTCTAACTCCGACTCCATCATAGCCAACACTGACTTCCAGACCCAAAACCCTCCCTTTCCGTTCCCCACTCCCCTGCACTCATTGGCCATCTTCCAAGTCATTCTACCCCTAATCTACTGCTCCAGCTCAAAGGAATTTCCCCCCTCCCATCCCATCTCCTCGGGGATTTTATCTCCAGGGAAAATAAGTAGGTGAAGAGTCAAACGTCCCTTTCCAGACGCCTCCGCTTCTCCTTCTTATGTCAGCACTAGAGAAAATGCAGCTTGAAGTGCTGACACCGGTAGTAAAGGTAAGTAGAACCCACCCCTGAAGCCATCGCAGCCAAAAACGGAGCTCAGGAGCCTGTTTTTGTGGCAGAGTGCTCGGGCCACCACAGGGGTTCCCGACACAAGTGAAGTCAAGCTTGCCACACACACCCCGGCCACACACACCCTGGCCCCCCCAAGGTCAAACACAACCTTGATGCGGCTTTCAATGAAATTAAGTTTGACACCCCTGCAATACAGAGACAATAGTTAGATAAAGGAGATCTGAGTCTGGGCCAGAACTGTAATCCGAGAAAGCATCTCAGATGAAACATTTCCTAGTTCTCATGAAGATAAAAGGAGGGGAAGCACATTTTCTTTGGTTTGCCTTGGGAGGGCTGACACTTTATCCTTCAATCCCCTCCCTTCCAAGAGTCTGCATCGATTCAGATATGTTTATAATTTATATCATCACTTCCTGCTACATGAACAAGCACAGCAAACCTTGGGTTCATATATTTCCCTCCATTCGGTTGTAAAGCAAATTAATCATACGCTTTTCAGCAAACTACAATTTACCACTATACGCATTAACACAAGGAACTCCGGCTTGTTTCGATTCAGTGGTAACCGATCAAATTAGAACAAGATTCAGATTTGATCCTTGTTTGGTCACCAATCACACTGTCAACAAGCCGTAGTTTATCCTATCAGCTTCATTTTTTTTATTTTTATTTTTTATTTGATTTATATGCCGCCCTTCTCCGGAGACTCAGGGCGGCTTACAATGCGTTAAGCAATAGCCTTCATCCTTTTGTATATTTATACAGTCAGCTTATTGCCCCCACAAACTGGGTCCTCATTTTACCCACCTTAGAAAGGATGGAAGGCTGAGTCAACCTTGAGCCTGGTAAGATTCGAACCTGCAGAAATTGCAGGCAGCTGTGTTAATTACAGGGTGCATTAAACCACTGTACTAACAAGGCTCCAGTGGAGGTTTTCAAGAAGAGACTTTACTTTACTTTACTTTACTTTTATTTGATTTATATACCGCCCTACTCCCGAAGGACTCAGCCAACAATAAAATACATATATACAAAATTTAAAAAGCAGAATTAAAATCAAATTACATAGTTTGGCCCAGACAGATTAAAACCCCAATCAATTTAAAACAAATTTAAACTTTGAGTATTAAAAATATTTAAAAATATTAAAATTATTAAAATTGTTTAAAAAGAGGGAGAAAGTTAGGCCAGGCCCGCCTGGTGAAATAAAAAGGTCTTGGGAGCGCGGCGGGAGGTGCGCAGATCCGGGATCCTCCGTATCTCCGGGGGGAGCTCGTTCCAGATAGTAGGTGCCCCCACAGAGAAGGCTCTCCCCCTGGGGGCCGCCAGTCGACATTGTTTGGCCGACGGCACCCGGAGGAGCCCCTCTCTATCAGAGTGTACCAGCCGGTGGGAGGCTATTGGTGGTAGTAGGCGGTACCGCAAGTACCCAGGTCCTGAGCCATGGAGCACTTTAAAGGTGGTAACCAAAACCTTGAAGCGCACCCGGAAGACCACCGGGAGCCAGTGCAGCTCGCGCAGGAGGGGTGTTACATGGGAGTGTTACTGGAGCGCCATTTGTCAGAAATGGTGTAGGGCCGGGATGGCGAACCTATGGCACGCCTGCCAGAGGTGGCACGCAGAGTCCTCTCTGTGGGCACACGCGCTGTCACCCCAGCTCAGCCAGCTGGTCGTTGGGTTTACGACGCATGCATGCATGCTGACCAGCTGGTCAGGTTTCCAATACATGCATGTATGCCTCGAAAACCCGAAGGTCAGCTGGTGGCGTGCATGCGTGCCAGCCAGCTGGTCATCAGGTTTCTGACGCCCTGGCATGCACGCACCTTCCGGTTTAGGTACTCTGTGCCTAAAGGTTCACCGTCCAATATCTGAGGGGCTGCCACAAAGAAGAGGGAGTCAAGCTATTCTCCAAAGCACCTGAGGGTAGGACAAGAAGCAATGGGTGGAAACTAATCAAGGAGAGAAGCAACTTAGAACTAAGGAGAAATTTCCTGACAATTAGAACAATTAATCAGTGGAACAACTTGCCACCAGAAGTTGTGAATGCTCCAACACTAGAAGTTTTTAAGAAGATGTTGGATAACCATTTGTATGAAGTGGTGTAGGGTTTCCTGCCTAAGCAGGGGGCTGGACTAGAAGACCTCCAAGGTCCCTTCCAACTCTGTTATTCTATTCTATTCTATTCTATTCTATTCTATTCTATTCTATTCTATTCTATTCTATTCTATTCTATTCTATTCTATTCCATTCTATTCCCTATCTCCTCCCACTTATGACAATAACCTTGTTGTTTGTATCTTTACAATTGATTTATTTAGTTTCCTAGTATGGTTTGATTGCTTATTTAGTATCCTTAAATAAGCATCCTAAATAGTATCCTATGACTATCACTAAGTGTTGTATCTTATGATTCTTGATGAATGTATTTTTTTTTATGTACACTGAGAGCGTAGGCACCAAGACAAATTCCTTGTGTGTCCAATCACACTTGGCCAATAAAGAATTCTATTCTATTCTATTCTATTCTATTCTATTCTATTCTATTCTATTCTATTCTATTCTATTCTATTCTATTCTATTCTAATTCTATTCTATTCTATTCTATTCTATTCTATTCTATTCTATTCTATTCTATTCTATTCTAATTCTAATTCTATTCTATTCTATTCTATTCTATTCTATTCTATTCTATTCTATTCTAATTCTAATTCTAATTCTAATTCTAATTCTATTCGCCCACAAGAAACTTCCTGGTGCTGGCAAGTCATCGCAAAACCATGCTAGAATTTTGAAGCAAGGTGACAGAAATCCACCTCTACTTGCATAGAAGGCAAACTGGTCTCCCACTGCTTTTAGGAGGCCGCATGCCAAACCGGTTACATATCTTACTTGGACGCTGAAGTGCCTTAATTTTCGACTGTCTCGTTCCATGGATCAGAGGCCGGATTTTGACGGAGGTATAGTTCTGCTCCAGGGCTTGAGATGCTGAAAAATGAGAGAGAGAATCCTTTGAGATACTTTTGAGCTCAATGCTCCCAGAGTTGGTCTCATGTAAGGCACAACATTGCATGGCCTTTTTCTGTCCCAGGGAACCTGAAGACATGGTCCATGAATTCATCTGCAGTAGCCCAAGAATGCCCAGGATCTGGCCAGCGGGCCTTGTTTTTGACATGTCTGTTCTAGAGCAGAGATCACCAACCTTTCAGATCTCAGGGACCACTCAATTCATCATTTTAAATCCCGCGGACCACTAATATGATCTGCCTAATGACCTGCTGGGTGGGCATGGCTAGATGATCATGTGACTGGGTGGGCGTGGCCAACTCGGTGTCACTCACGTCGAGGGGTACCTTGCTGGTCTCTACTCACCCCTCCCCTCCCAGCCATTCCTCCCTGCCCGGGTTCCTTAGGGCCCCAACAGGAAGCAGTTGTTGGAGCTAAGCAGCCACCACGAGAAAGAGTTGGCAGAACAGCTGGCTCAGTTCAAATTGGATTTGGCCGAGAAGGAAGCTCAGCAGAAGCACCACACTGAGGACTACGAGCATAGGCTTTCCAAGAAGAGGGAAGACCTGCAGGAGTGCAAGGCCAGGTATCGGTGCCTGGAGGCTCAGCGGGCTGAGATGGTCAGCCAGTTCCAGGCCATGAGGCAGTCCCACTGGAACGAGGCCCTCCGGCTCTTCGCCATCAGCAGCGTTCCCCTCCAGCCTTCGCCCAAAGCCTCACACCAGGAGGCTGAAGCAGCCCCCAAGTCAGAATTCCTGCCCCCCTCTGACCCACACAAAAAGACCCCGAAGGGGGAGACTCTCTGCAGCAACACAAACGTTCATTGCAAGGGCTGCAGTTTGAGGACCCCTGATTTAGTGCAATAAAAAAAATGCAAATAATTTTTCTGCGGACTACCAAAATTTTCTCGCAGACCACCAGTGGTTCACAGACCACCAGTTGGTGACTGCTGTTCTAGAGAATCGACATCTTTTTTTATATCATGGAACAGAACTGGACATACCGTGTTTCCCCGAAAATAAGACCTTGTCTTATATTTTTCTGAACCTCGAAATAAGCGCTTGGCCTTATTTTCGGTGAGGTCGAAAATATTTTGGGGAGCGTGGAGCAAGACGGGGTTCCTCTTGCCATCTTACCTGATTTCCAGCTCTGTCTTCTTAACCTTAACCAGAGGAAATGGCGGGGACTGGCTGTGTCAACTTGCAAAGCTTTCAAGTTGCCATGAGCAGGAGGGAGGGAGAACTGATAGAGCTGATTGATTTCCCTAACTGAAGTGCATTCCATACATTCTTCCTGACCGCAATCAGAAGGAGGGTGTTGGATTTCACAGCCAGCCAAAGTGGTTAATTGGAGAATGTGATTTATGACATGGCCAGAGAGGAGGGGAGAGACAGGGTCATAGGGGAACGTAAATCTACGTGGGATTAGTTCTAACTGCATCCGAATATTGCCGAAATGGTGCTCCTAATAAATGATTGTATTTCTTTTGAAGTTCGGCTCATGGCTCATGAATTAATTAGGGCATCTTTCGGAAACTTCACAGGCTGCACATGCGTTTAAATATTTTCGGGGAGGGCTTATTTTCGGGGAGGGCTAATTTTCGGGGGGGCTCATTTTAGCGCATGTGCTCAAAAGCCCGATTGGGCTTATTATCAGGGGATGTCTTATTTTTGGGGAAACAAAAATTTAAAAAAAGTGTGATCTTACCAATTCAGTGTAACGTGTGTGATGGCTTATAAAGCTTCCAACCCAATTTGCAGAGGGAGGGGAGAGGGAAGGAAAAGGCACCAACACCCATTAAATAGGAAGCAACGGCAGACTTTGATTTGCGCACTAAAAGCAAGATTTGTGTACACACAAGTCACACACACACATACAGAGACAAAATTACCTGCTGCCAAACTGGAAAAGATCCCGAGGGCATGAGTGTCATCAACCCATTGCAACTTAAATCCACTCTCTCTGAAAGAGACAGATCAGAGTTACAATTCTTTAAATGTCACAGTTTCACCCGAGTAAGATTTCATGGAAAAGCAGATCTGACGCTTTTATCTTCCTCCAAGCGTTTTCTCTATTCCTGCCCAGTAAGCAAGAATGGAAGGTGTTGGGTTGGTTGTATGCAGAGAGTAGCACCGAACTCAGTGATATGGGGGGTTTCAAAATGGGGGTGGCCGCATGGGACCCACATGTGAAGCTGTCTTTGTACAACTTCAGCAGGCATGATGCATCTGGTGGTGTGGTTAGGCTAATATTTCCAGCCTTGTCTATTTCCTGGCATGTGGACTTCAAATCCCAGAATTCCACAGCCAGCTTGGCCATTGATGAGAATTTAGGGAGTTGACGTCCGCACACCTGAAAGTTGCCAAGGTTGGGAAACACATGGTTAGATCAGTGGTGAAATCCAAATTTTTTTAACTACCGGTTCTGTGGGTGTGGTGTGGTTTGGTGAGCGTGGCAGGGGAAGGATACTGCAAAATCTCCATTCCCTCCCCACTCCAGGGGAAGGATATTGCAAAATCCCCATTCCCTCCCCACTGCTGGGGGAAGGATATTGCAAAATCTCCATTCCCACCCCACTCTGGGGCCAGCCAGAGGTGGTGTTTGCCGGTTCTCCAAACTACTCAAAATTTCCGCTATGGGTTCTCCAGAACCTGTCAGAACCTGCTGGATTTCACCCCTGGGTTAGATTCTTCTTTATTCGATCATAGACCCAGCATGAGAATACAGAATACAGAAATTACAGTTAAGAGCCTTGGTAGTACAGTGGTCTAAGGCACCCTGTTATTAAGCTGGTTATTAAGACCAGCTGCCTGCAATTACTGCAGGTTCGAATCTCGCCAAGGCTCAAGGTTGACTCAGCCTTCCATCCTTTCTAAGGAAGGTAAATTGAGGACCCAGTTGTGGGGGAAATAAGCTGACTTTGTATAAATATACAAAAAGGATGAAGGCTATTGCTGAGCACATTGTAAGCCGCCCTGAGTCTCCGGAGAAGGGCGGCATATAAATGAAATTTAAAAAATAAATTAAAAAATAAAGTACAAAAGCATGGAAATGAATATATACTGTATAAATATTCTAGAATAGCTAAAATATCTGGAGGGCAGAGTTAGAGGCAAAGCGGTGTCAAACTGGATTTCTCCAAGGGCTGGATCAGCATTGTAGTTCTCCTAAGTGGGCCGGCAGGAGGGGGGAAATTGGACCGACACCTCTTGCAGCACCCAAACTGGGATGCAGGGGGGGCACACGCAGTCCCCCCCATGCTCTGTTTTTTGCCTGGAGGGCCTCCTGCAGCATCCTGCTGGCCAAAGTGGGACGCAGGGACCCGCACGCAGCTTCCCCACACCTCATTTTTACTAGAAAATGCACCGCAGGCCAGTCCTTGGTGACGCAGCAGACTAAAGCGCTGTTAAGTAGCACCAGCTGCCTGCAATTACTGCAAGTTCAAATCTCACCAGGCTCAAGGTTGACTCAGCCTTCCATCCTTTCGAGGTAGGTAAAATGAGGACCCGGATTGTGGGGGCAATAAGCTGACTTTGTATAAAAAAGAACACCGCTTGGGGGGGCCGAAAACTCTACTAAGCAGGCATATACAAAAGTATGAAGGCTATTGCTTAACACATTGTAAGCCGCCCTGTGTCTCCGGAGAAGAGCGGCATATAAATCAAACCAATCAATCAATCAGTCAGTCAATCAATCAATCAATCAATCCATCAATCAATTTCCAGGCCAGTCCAAGGCCCTTCTCAGTCTTGGATGGTTAGATTAGAGCCGTGGTGGCACAGTGGTTAGAATGCAGTATTGTAGGCTAACTCTGCTGACTGCCAGGAGTTCAGTCCTGACCAGCTCAAGGTTGACTCAGCCTTCCATCTTTCTGAGGTCGGTAAAACGAGGAAACAGATTGTTGGGGGCAATAGGCTGACTCTGTAAACCGCTTAGAGAGGGTCTGTAAAAAAGCACTGCGAAGTGGTATATAAGTCTAAGTGCTATTGCTATTATTGGATTGCAGGAACGAATCAGATTCAAGCCATCACTGGACCATGGAACTCCTTTCCTGACTTTGGACCAGTCAATCTTTCTCAATCCAATTTATTATTATTTTTTTTTATTGGTTCGATTTATATGCCGCCCTTCTCCGGAGACTCAGGGCGGCTTACAATGCGTTAAGCAATAGCCTTCATTCTTTTGTATATATCTGCTTAGTAGGGCTTTTGGCCACCCATAAGCGGTGTTCTTTTTTATACAAAGTCATCTTATTGCCCCCACAATCCGGGTCCTCATTTTACCTACCTCGGAAGGATGGAAGGCTGAGTCAACCTATCCTACAGTGTTTTAGGGCAGGGATCTCCGAACTTGGCAACTTTAAAACTTGCGGACTTCATCTCCCAGAATCTCCCAGATAGCATGACTGGCTGAGGAATTCTGGGAGTTGAAGTCCACAAGTCTAAAAATGGCTAAATTTGGAGACTCCTGTTTTAGGGAATAAGAGAAGGAAATATCTCTGTAGAAGTTGCCTTCAGCTCTCAGAAAAAAATGTCTGGAGTAAAATGTATGTATTTGTTTATTAAATTTGTATAGCCACCCATTTCACCCAAAGTGACTCTGGGCAGTCTTACAGCCATCGAGTGAAACCAATCACTAATATAGTAAATTATCTTTCCTAAGGATTCTAGCAAGGCGTGGATGAGTAGTCAGGTCATCCTAGTTCAGATATTGCTGGGGAAAAAAAATAAAGCTTATTATTATTTTTTCTTTCTTTTTCTCAGTGCTGCATTTCCCAACAAGATCTCACCAGCCTCCCCTTCATGTGTATTAATTAGGGAAAAATATTACGCCTGCAACATACCCAACTCAGCTCAGAGAGGCATTACCCTAATCAAGGGATGAACAGTAGGTGTCCTGAAGAATGTATTCTATTTAATCTCCATTTTTTTCCAACGTCATCAAAGAAAAGACTGCATAAGCTGCATAATTAACTTTGCGAATCCGTCATTGCGTAATGCGGTAAGGACTATTAAGGGAGGCTGTATTGAATGCTGAGTCCCCCCCCATTCAAGGCAGGGCTGATAGAAATGATCGGAAACAAGAATGTCCAACTTTATTTTTAAAAAAATGAGGTTTTAGTTCTAGCTACAGGAAGACAACTGAGCTTAACTGTTATTTTCTTCCTTAACGTGCTTGGGGAAATATTGGGCAGGCTTTTTGCTAAATCAAGAAAGGCGAGTGGCGTGCTCCAATTAAGGGATTGAAATGGAAATCACTAGTCGTGATTTTGCAGCTGATCCAGGCATCTCTTCCGCCATTCAGAGGATCGAAAGCCACGTCTCTGAATTGCACAATATCTCAAGACCTAAAATGGACACCTAACATCAAAAACGTCATCAAAAAAGCACAACAAAGAATGTGCTTTCTGGGCCAACTCAGGAAGCTCAAACTGCCCGAGGAGCTGCTGATCCAGTTCTACAGAGGAAGTATTGAGTCTGTCATCTGCACCTCCATAACTGTCTGGTTTGGTTCTGCAACCCAACAAGACAGACACAGACTTCAGAGGATAATTAGAACTGCAGAAAAAACAATGCCTTCCATTGAGGACCTGTATACTGCACGAGTCAAAGAGAGGGCTGTGAAAATATCTACAGACCCCTCGCATCCTGGACATAAATTCTTTCAACTCCTACCCTCAAAACAACACTATAGAGCACTGCACACCAGAACAACTAGACACAAGAACAGTTTTTTCCCGAATGCCATCTGCTAAACAACACTGTCCCTCAACACTGTCAAACTAGTTATTAAGTCTGCATTACTATTAATCTTCTCATCAAAAAAAAGGGACAAAGAACCTGCTAGAGAATTCTTATGGCGCTTGTCTAGAATTTCATCTCTATCCTAGAATTGAGAAAAGAGAAGTTTGACTCCTAAGTAAGTTGCTCATCATACAACATACTTGCTTCAAACAGTCCCGGGCTGTTTTAAGATAAAACTAAGCTCTTTAGTTAAACTCTTTAACTAAACTTTAACTCTTTAGTTAACCTCTTAAGGGACGCGGTGGCTCAGTGGCTAAGACGCTGAGCTTGTCGATCAAAAGTTCGGCAGTTCAGCGGTTTGAAACCCTGGGGCCACGTAACAGGGTGAGCTCCCGTTACTTGTCCCAGCTTCTGCCAACCTAGCAGTTCAAAAGCACGTAAAAAATGCAAGTAGAAAAATAGGGACCACCTTTGGTGGGAAGGTAACAGCGTTCCGTGCGCCTTTGGCGTTTAGTCATGCCGGCCACATGACCACGGAGACGTCTTTGGATAGCGCTGGCTCTTCGGCTTTGAAACGGAGATGAGCACCGCCCCCTAGAGGCGGGAACGACTAGCACCAGAACATGAAACCCCACCACTTACTGGAAATCTGCAAAGGCCTCCATAAGATGTTCTGTTTTTAGCAATGGGGAAAAATCATAGATCTCTAGCACGTGGCCAAAATCTCCTTCGTTGATCTGTGCCTCCCCATAGCTGGAATAATCAAACTGAATCTTCTCAATGCTTATGTCTTTTATGGTCAAATAATTTGTGATCTGAAAAAGAGCAAAAAAAAAATAATAATAAATCACCTTTTTACATCTTCACTTCTATACAATAAGAATCAACACAAACCACAATCGGCAAAATTAGGCGATCGTCATTCTCAGTGTGCTTTTAAACATTTTAAGCAACAGCTGGAACACCATGCTGGAATTCGATGTCTACAATTATAATTCATATGGCCATCTACTGACTAATAAATTCCTGCTAATTAACCTTTACAGAGCAATTTCCTGATCCCATAAAAAGAATAAAAGCCCAGAAATAGCTTTGCTGGCGTACGATTCTACTGATGAGGTAGGCTGGGAAATTCAATAAAGCCTCTATAACATAGTGGAAAATGTAAAAACTTTATACACAATAAAATACACAGAATGTATAAACTTTGTGGTTTGTATCTTATGATTTATGTCAATTGCTTTTTTTTTTTTTTGCTTTAATTTATATGCCGCCCTTCTCCGGAGACTCAGGGCGGCTTACAATGCGTTAAGCAATTTTTAGTATCCTATTATGATTTCTGTTGATTGCTTATGTAGTATCCTATGACTAACACCAAATGTTGGATCTTATGTTTTATGATGATTATATTTTATGATTATGATCATGCTTTATCACTTTGTTGCTTGTACCTTTAAAGCGCTCCATGGCTTAGGGCCGGGGTATTTACGAGACCGGCTTCTGCCGCCAATAGCCTCCCACGGATCGGTTCGCTCGCACAGAGAGGGCTTCCTCAGGGTGCCGTCGGCCAGGCAGTGCCGACTGGCGACCCCCAGGGGGAGAGCCTTCTCTGTGGCAGCACCTGCCCTCTGGAATGACCTGCCCCCTGAGATACGTACGATATCAGACCTCCGGACTTTTCACTGGGCCCTGAAAACACACTTATTCCATCTAGCTGGGCTGGCCTGATCCCATCCTCTCAGTTTTTAATTGTATTCGGTTTTAATTGGGTTGTTTTAAACTTGGGCCAAAATTATTTAATTGTTTTTTAAATTGTTTTTTAAATTTTATATGCTATGTTTTATCTTGGCTGTACACCGCCCTGAGTCCCGCAGGAGAAGGGCGGGATAGAAATTGAATAAAATAAATAAAATAAATAAATAAATGTATACTGAGAGCTTATGCACAGGAGACAAATCCCTTGTGGGGCCAGTCACACTTGGGCAATAAAGAATTCTATTGGATTTAAAATATTTAAAAGAGCAACGATACTCCTTAAGATAATTCTGCTTTCCCTGCCTTTAAAGACTATCATATCTGGGTTTTGTTGTTTTTTTATGTTGCTTGAACCCCTAAGAGAGGAATTATTCATTAACAATCAAAAGCTGTTCAGCTGCAGTGGATTAAAAAAAAATGGAATCAAATCGAGAAAGACAGAGTCGTGTTTGCGTATTAAGTATTTTGCGCTACTTTTCACTTCCCGAGGAAAAGATCAGAGTGGGAACAATCTCTGCCAAGTGATGGACAGCACGCTGAGAAACAGCAGGTTGGCTGTTCATTCTAAGCCAAAACCTGCTATTTTTTTCCCCGGCAGGAAATAACATAGCTGCAAACGATGCTTATTGGGGAACAAAACTCCCCTTGAGGAGGACAGAAAATAACATGCGTGCTAAAATCAGAAAGGTACTTTACAAAATACCATGGATTTCACTTCTGTCGGCCGCCGGCCCCTCCAGCAACCGAATCAGAGGAGGAGGAGGAGGAGGAGGAGGAGGAGGAGGAGGAGGAGGAGGAGGAGGAGGAGGAGGAGGAGGAGGAGGAGGAGGAGGAGGAGGAGGATGGGGAGGCGTGGAAGTCAGGGCCAGCATCAAGGCAACCTCAGAGCTCCGAGGAGGAAGAGGGAATGGAGCCATCAGAGAGAGAGAGAGACAGAGACGGAGCTTGGGCCTTCCTTCAGTTCTCAGATGGAGAGTCAACAGCCCCTGGAGGTGGCTGATGAGGAAGAGGAGGAACAGCTGGGTCCAGTGCCTGATTCATTTAACAACCGTGTTGCTAACTTAACAACCGCAGTGATTCGCTTAACAGCTGTGGCATGAAAAGTCATGAAAATGGGGCAAAACTCACCTAACTGTTGTCTCGCTTAGCGACGGTACAATTTGTACTGTTTATCGTACTCTTTTACTGGCGCTTTTATTCCAGACCCCTTTGAAATGCTTCAAAAGAGGTGAATTAGGAGGAGTATAGTATAGCCCAGTGATGGCTAAACTTTTTGCCATCGCGTGCCAGGAGCGGGGGGAGCGGAGGGGTCACGCACACGTATGCCCACACCCATAATTCTATGCGCCCCACCCCCGTGCATGTGCATGTGAGCCCCCGCAATGCTCCCCCCCACTCCTGGCAAGCGATGGCCCGGTGGCCCAATAGGCCCATTTTTCTCTCTCCCCCAAGTTCCAGAGCCTTTCTAGGAGTCTGGGGAGGGCGAAAACAGCCTCCCCGCCCCCCCAGACGCCCTTCGGAGGCCGGAAACAGCCTGTTTCCCTACTTCTGGTGGGCCCAGAAGGCCCGAAAATCAGCTGGCTGGCCCTTGCATGCGCGCCACAGCTGAGCTCGCGTGCCCACCGATATGGCTACGTGTGCCACCTGTGGCACGCGTGCCATAGGTTCGCCATCACGTGTATAGCCTTTATTGTCATTGCACATCATGTACACAACGAAATTGGTTTTAGCCTCACTGGTGCAATCCATGACAAAAAACACAAACAAGATAAATAGTATAAAGAATAATCCCTATGCAAATAATTTGGGGGGGGGAGGAAGAAAAAGAAAGAAAAAGAAAAACTAGTCATACATTTCTGCATGTGCTTGGAGTGATTGTGGCTGTGTTTAAGAGCCCAAGGATAGAAACTATTTTTAAACCTATTTGTTCGGCTGGCTATGCTTCGATGTCTTCGATGCTTGGAGGAAGGAGAAAATAATAAGGGCAGGATACAAGTAAGTACAAGTAGTCCTTGGCTTACAACAGGTCATTTAGTGACCGATCCAAGTTACAACAGCACTGAAAAAAAGTGAACTTACGATCGTTTTTCACACTTATGATCCCCGTGTTCACGTGATCAAAAGCCAGGTGCTTGGCCACTGCTTCATATTTATGACGGGCTGCAGTGTCCTGGGGTCACGACCTTTGGCGACCTTCTGACAAATAAAGCCAAAGGGGAAGACGGAGTTGCATAACGACCACGTCACTAACTTAACAAACACAGTGAGTCACTTAACAACTGAGGCAAGGAAAGTCGTAAAATGGGGCCAAACGTTTCACTTAGCAACATAAATTTGGGGCTCAGTTGCGGCCGTATCTCGAGGACTCCCTGTAAATTAAATAAAATTGTGGCATGAAATAAAGCCGGTCTGGTGAAAACAAAGAATGACACCGTGATCTTACCTCTTGCAAGAGTTCCGTCCCACAATCGTCTTCGAATATGCTGCTCTTCCCTTCCGCCGAAGAAACTCCGGTGCTCCTATCCCCAGCAGACAGCTCGACCCCCGGCCACTGATGTCCCTCCAGGCCTACCGACTCTTTCTTCTGGCTTTCAAAGTGTAGCTTGGCTTTGTGGGGACTGGGGATAGAGGTGTGCAAGTAGGGTTCAGCTTGAGGATTGAGCCGAGATGGGGTTTTGCAACTGTCCCACCTCAAGAAGTCCTCCTTAATGAGTCCAGATGGCTGGGTTTGGCCACACTCCAACGGAAGGTCAACGGTGCAATCTTGAGGTTGGGTTTCCGCTGGCAACTCACTGTAGTCCTTGGAGGACTCTACAGTCCTCGTTCCCAGTTCTGGGAGAAGTTTGCACTCCTCTCCTCCATCGGCACATAGACATGTCCTGTGGTCATTTTCAAAGAGGGGTAAGTCCTGACTAGATTTCAACAGAAAAGCATTTGAAGCGTCCGTCCCACCGTTTCCAGGAAGGGACGGGAATGTGTCGCTTTCTAACAGAATGGAATCCTGGCTGCTTTTATCCAAATCTCCAAGAAAGAGTGGCTTTGTGCTCAACTTTTGGACCTCTGGAGCTGTGAACTTCTGGCCTTCAGGCGAAGTCGAATGTCCACTTAGTTTTGAAAGAGCATCAACGAAAGTCTCCATCAGTTCTTCGGGAAGACCTGAGTTTTCACCGCTTTCTGGGACAAAAACATTTCGGCCATCTTTGCTTTGGGGGTCTATCTCAGATAGGTTTGGACTACTTTTGGATACCAATGTGGCCACCTTCACATTCTCTTGCTTCTCCAGGTAAGATGCCCTTGGTGCGTCCTTCCAAAGAGACATATCTGGGCAGCCCAGAGCACCTCTGCCACTTTGATTGGCAGGCTCCGTATCAGAATGTCTTTGCTTGGGTGGGGGTTGGGACTTTGTGTTTTCATATTCCATCTTGGATAACCTGTGTCCCTCTGGAATCCTTTCACTGCCAGATGTTTGACTTTCCTCTTTGTTGGTGCTCATACAATGCAACCCACTCTCAAATGCTTCCAGGGAGCTACCCTGTCCCGTGTCCTCCAGCTTCTTCCTCATCGCCCTGGGGACATAGAGAGCTCTGTCTGGCTTTTTGGGGGGCTGCCTTCTAGCCCGGCCATTTCCTCTTCGGGTTTGGGTACTGTTGGCCAAGGCTTCCATCTGCCGTGGTCCTCCTCTGGATCGGCTCCCTCTGCTTCTGGCATGGGGAGGGTGGTTGAAGTGAGAAGTTTCAACAGCACCATTGGGGCAATCTGGTTCATCCGGCAACCTAAATCCAAGAGAAGAATCCGAAACGCCAAGAAATAGGCAAGTCAATGTTTTAGAACTCCCAAGACCAAATGCATCCAATTTTAGCTACCTGACGCAAAATCAAGACTTTGTCTTATTAAAGAATCCAGTGGTAATCTGCTAGCTGTCTAATGGCGACTTGGCTCACAATCCTTCCAGAGTCTCATAGAAAAATGGCCGGTTACTGCAGATTATTGCTTTTTTATCAATATAATTTATACTGGGTATGTGATATTGTATATCTTCGAGACCGCCTTCTACCGCATAGCTCCCATCGACCGGTAAGATCCCACAGAGCTGGTCTCCTCCGGGTCCCGTCAGCTAACAATGTCGGTTGGCGGGCCCGCGGGGGAGGGCCTTCTCTGTGCTGCCCCGGCTCTCTGGAACCAATTACCTCCTGAGGTCGGACCGCCCCCACCTTATTGGCCTTCCGTAAAGCAGTGAAGACCTGGCTTTTCCGGCAGGCCTGGGGCCGTTGATCTCGCTACGGCGATCTTGCGAGACCCGGCCATGGAATAGAGTGTATGGGTTTTTAATGTTCTTTTTTAAAAAAAATTTACGGATATAGTTCGCATTGTTGTTTTTTTTGCTGTAAGCCGCCCAGAATCCCTAGGGAGTTGGGCGGCACAGAAATGCGACTAATAAATAAATAAATATTTTTATTACAATATATATTTTTATATATTTATAATATATAATAAATTTATAAATTTATAATAAATTAATTTATAATAAAATATATATTTTATATATTTTATTACAATATATATTTTATAGTATGTGATATTGTGTGTGATAATTGTATATTGTATTGGGTGTATACAACAGAATACCTCATGCCACCAGGGTTGAAATTTTGGGCTTGGACAACCTAGAACAGGGATGGCGAACCTTTTAGAGACCGAGTGCCCAAACTGCAACCCAAAACCCACTTATTTATCACAAAGTGCCAGCACAGCAATTTAACCTGAATAATGAGGTTTTACTACCTAAAATAATGATAAGAGTTCATGCCCCTTCATTTTTTTTTCTGCTTTTGAAATATTACGTTTAAGCAACAATAAAAAGGAAAAACTTTTGTAATATCATTTCTCTTTCCCTCCCTCTCGCTTTCCCCCTCTTTCCCCCTCCCTCTCTTCCCCTCCTCTCTCTTTCCCTCCCTCCCTCTCTCTCCCTCTCTCTTCCCCCCCCTCTCTCTTTCCCTCCTCTCTCTCTTTCCCTCCTCCTCTCTCTTTCCCTCCCTCTCTCTCTTTCCCTCCCTCCCTCTCTTCCCCTCCCTCTTTCCCTCCCTCCCTCTCTCCCTCCCTCTCTCCCTCTCTTCCCCTCTCTCTTCCCCTCCGCCCTCTCCTCCCTCCTCCCTCTCCCTCCCTCTCTTCCCCTCCCTCTTTCCCTCCATCCCTCTTTCCCTCCATCCCTCTCTTCCCCTCCCCCTCTTCCCCTCCCTCTCTCTTTCCCTCCCTCCCTCTCTTTCCCTCCATCCCTCTCTCCCTCCCTCTCTCTCCCTCCCTCTCTTCCCTCCATCCCTCTCTCTCCCTCCCTCCTCCTCTCTCCTCTCTCCCTCCCTCTCTTTCCCTCCATCCTCTCTCCCTCCTCTCTCCCTCCCTCTCTTCCCCTCCCTCTCTTTCCCTCCATCCCTCTCTCTCCCTCCTCTCTCTCTCTCTTCCCCTCCCTCCCTCTCTCTTCCCCCCCCCTCTCTTTTCCCTCCATCCCTCTCTCTCCCTCTCTCTTCCCCTCCCTCTCTCTTTCCCTCCCTCTCTCTTCCCCTCCCTCTTTCCCTCCCTCCCTCTCTCCCTCTCTTCCCCTCTCTCTTCCCCTCTCTCCCTCCTCCCCTCCCTCTCCCTCCCTCTCTTTTCCCCTCTCTCTTCCCCTCCCCTCTTTCCCTCCATCCCTCCCTCCCTCCCTCTCTTCCCCTCCCCCTCTTCCCCTCCCTCTTTCCCACCCTCCCTCTCTTTCCCTCCATCCCTCTCTCCCTCCCTCTCTCTCCCTCCCTCTCTTCCCCTCCATCCCTCTCTCTCCCTCCCTCTCTCCCTCTCTCTCTTCCCCTCCCTCTCTCTTTCCCTCCATCCCTCTCTCCCTCCTCTCTCCCTCCCTCTCTTCCCCTCCCTCTTTCCCTCCATCCCTCTCTCTCCCTCCCTCTCTCTCTCTCTCTCTCTCTCTCTCTTCCCCTCCCTCCCTCTCTCTCTTCCCTCCCTCTCTCTCTTTCCCTCCATCCCTCTCTCTCTCCCTCCCTCCCCCTTGCGGGAGAAACGCGATGGAGCTGGGCTGGGGTGTGCCGATAGAGAGGGCACGCATGCCATAGATTCACCACCACTGACCTAGAACTACGCCGCCTACGGTCTGACCTGAGTGTAGTACACAAAATTGTCTGCTACAACGTCCTACCTGTCAATGAGGACCCAGTTTGTGGGGGCAATAAGCTGACTTTGTATAAAATATACAAAAGTATGAAGGCTATTGCTTAATGCATTGTAAGCCGCCCTGAGTCTCCGGAGAAGGGCGGCATATAAATCTAATTTTTTTTTTTAAATGACCTCAATAATACGCGGGCAAACAATAGATACAAACTCAAGGTAAACCACTCCAAGCTTGATTGCAGAAAATACGACTTCAGCAACAGAGCGGTCAACGCCTGGAATGTACTACATGACTCAGTTGTTACATCCTCAAACCCCCAAACTTTAACCTTAAACTGTCTACTGTTGACCACACCCCATTCCTAAGAGGTCTGTAAGGGGTGTGCATAAGCGCACCAGCGTGCCTACCATCCCTGTCCTAATGTTTCTTCTATTTGTACCTATTTTATGTATTCATAATCATGTTTATACTTATATCTGTTATCTAATACATGCTTGACAAAATGAATGAATGAATGAATGAGTGAATGAATGAATGAATGAATGAATGAATGAATGTGAAAGTAGGATAGATCTTGATTTGTCCCTATTCTTAAGCAAGCAAAAGTGAGAAAAGGATGATTGGTTATGGAATACCCAGATCTCCTCTCTTGGCCAGGGGGTTGGATGAGAAGACCTCCAAAATCCCTTCTAACCCTATGATTCTATAGAAATTCTAACACAAAATGGCTTCTATGCTTCCTCATTTGGGGGAAATTTAAGAATTCCTCACTTGCGGAAAAAACTGACACACCTTTTAACATTTTGAATGCAAAGAATATGGCAGATTGCTCTGAAGCATTCAACTCAGGGGAATAAAATGTTTCAGATCCTCTCCTTGAAAGGCCTAGCTTGAAAAATGTAAATTTAAACTCATTCTGCTGGTTATGGGCTCTTGAGCAAAATCTTAATCTCTTAATCAAAATCTTAATCTCTTCAACTTTCCAACTCTTCCTAGCTCAATACAAAATAAACTCCAGCCAAAAAAATGTTGAGGCTGGCGTATGTTTATCTTGTACTGAGCTAGAAAGTGTTGGAAGTTAATGCCCTCTTTTCTTTCTTTTTCTCTTCCACCTTGTATTCAACTCCCCCTTTTCCCGTTCCCATTCTTAATTTCTTATTTTTTTTTATTTTATGTTTTAAATAATAAAATAAAAATGTAAATAGAAAAAATATTAAGCTCATATTCATTTAATACATTTAGTTTATTTTAAATGCATTGTTTTTAAAATTAAATCTTAATCTTATTCATTTAATGTAATTCATCTATTCTTAATTTATTGTTTTTAAAATTAAATCTTAATCTCTTATTCATTTAATGCAATTCATCTATTCTTAATTTATTGTTTTTAAAATTAAATATTAATCTCTTATTCATTTAATGTAATTCATCTATTTTTAATTTATTGTTTTTAAAATTAAATCTTTTTTTTTTAAATTTGATTTATATGCCGCCCTTCTCCGGAGACTCAGGGCGGCTTACAATGCGTTAAGCAATAGCCTTAAAATTTTTCTATATTTATACAAAGTCAGCTTATTGCCCCCACAAACTGGGTCCTCAATTTACCTACCTTAGAAAGGATGGAAGGCTGAGTCAACCTTGAGCCTTAATCTCTTATTCATTTAATATATTTTATTTTATTTATTTTTAATTTATTGTTTTTAAAATTAAATCTCAATCTCTTATTCATTTAATTTAATACAGTTCTAGGCTGCATAAACAGAGGGATAGAATCAAGATCACGTGAAGTGTTAATACCACTTTATAATGCCTTGGTAAGGCCACACTTGAAATAACTGCATCCAATTTTGGTCGCCACGATGTAAAAAAGATGTGGAGGACTCTAGAAAGAGTGCAGAGAAGAGCAACAAAAAGGATTAGGGGACTGGAGGCTAAAACATATGAAGAACAGTTGCAGGAACTGGGTATGTCTAGTTTAATGAAAAGAAGGACTAGGGGAGACATGATAGCAGTCTTCCAATATCTCAGGGGCTGCCCCAAAGAAGAGGGAGTCAAGCTCTTCTCCAAAGCACCTGAGGGTAGAACAAGAAGCAATGGGTGGAAACTAATCAAGGAGAGAAGCAATTTAGAACTAAGGAGAAATTTCCTGACAATTAAGAACAATTAATCAGTGGAACAACTTGACTCCAGAAGTTGTGAATTCTCCAAAACTGGAGTTTTTAAGAAGAGATTGGATAACCATTTGTCTGACATGGTGTAAGGTTTCCTGCCTACGCAGGGGGTTGGACTAGAAGACCTCCAAGGTCCCTTCCAACTCTGTTATTCTAATACATTTAATTTACTTTTAAAAACAATTAAATTTTATTTATTTATGTAAACCTCTTATTCGGTTCTTAGCACTGAAAGTCAGCCGTTAAAAAAACGGGAGCCTCCCACCTGACTGCTGCATGACAGACCACTGTCCTTCTCCTCCATCCTTCTCCAACAGAAAAGCTGCTCAGGAGCTCAACGTCATCAACGGTTCGGTGGATCAAGTATCTCAGGCGACTAGATAGAGGAGGAAATAAGAGGACTCTGCAAGAAAGGAAGACGGAGAATAAAATCAGTTGCTCTCAAGAAAGGGCGGCGCGGTGGCTCAGCGGTTAAGACGCTGGGCTTGTCGGCTGGAAAGCCAGTAGCCCAGGTTCAAGACCCCAGCACCACGAGACGGGGTGAGTTCCCGTCCTCGCTCCAGCTCCTGCCAACCTAGCAGTCCAAAAAGAATGCAAATCATCATCATCTTCTTCTTCTTTTAGCGACCCCATAATGCCTTGTGGGGTGGAGTCTGGGCAACTGGATGGAGCCGAGTGTTTACTGGCCGGATGCCCTTCCTGTCACCAATGCGGAGTTATATTCAGCAGATACATTCTCATTGTGCCCAAAGAGAGAAATATCTGCCTTTACCTAGGATCAAATTCAGTCTCCTAATTGTGAGGTGAGAGTTCCACCTCTAGAACCGCACCACTTTAGAAAAGTATGCAAATGCGAGTAGATAAATAGGTACCACTTTGGTGGGAAGCTAACAACTGGCCACATGACCGCAGAAATGTCTTCAAGACAGCGGCGCTGGCTCAATGGCCTTGAAGCAGACATGAGCACCGTGCCCCCACCCCCCGCCCCCATAGTCGGCAACAACTAGCAAAGTAAAATCTGCAGGAACTCCTTTATTTTTTATTTAAAGAAAGGGACAATTTAACAGCCACAAGAAGAGCGAAAGAGACCCAGTTTGCTCTAGCGGTTTAATGCACCAGGCTAGAAAGTGGGAGACCATGAGTTCAAGTCCTGCCTTAGCCATGAAAGCCAGCTGGGTGACTTTGGGCCTGTCACTCTCTCTCTCAGCCCAACCAACCTCACAGGGTTCTTGTTGTGTGGAAAAGAGGAGAAAGGCGAGCTGGATATGTCTGTTGCATATATATATATATTTTCTTTTAGCCAGGTTTTTCCTACATAGCCAAGATTTTTCTACAGCCCTAGCTCAGTGGAGTCACATCCTACATTCTACAGCTAGGGCTGTAGAAAAATCTTGGCTACGTAGGAAAACCTGGCTAAAAGAAAAACGTACATAAAACCAAGAAAAGTAAGAATAGATAGATAGATAGATAGATAGATAGATAGATAGATAGATAGATAGATAGAGATAGAGATAGAGATAGAGATAGAGATATATTTTACAAACTATTCTAAAAATACGAGTTTCAGGTATATTAGTAAAAAAAGAAGCAGACATACTGCGAACTCCGGAACTTAAGTTTTTAAAATTTTAAAAGAATTTTATATATATATAAAAGGCATGCGAATCAGAAGCAAAACCCAAGTTTGATAGGAGAGGAACATTTCATGCATAGCCTCACTTTAAAAAAATATCTTAAGGAAAAGCAGAGCTAAATTTCATGGGTTTTACAGTTTAATCTCTTTTTAAACGAGCTCCTGGCTTTTCTTTCTACCGGGAAAAGGCTCTGCAGCCAGCCAGACAGGCAGACCGAGACTCACGCTGGGCTGGGGCAACGAGAGAGAAGCTTCTTACTTTTCCAGCTGGTTCTGTAGCAGGAAGTGGTCCAGTTCCTCCATGATTTTGTCGACAAAGTCATTCTCCATAGGAGAAAGGAACACGCCGTCCAAACAACGCAGCGCCAGGGTGACAGTGGGGTGGTAGCCTGTTAAGAGGGCAACAAAATTGGGCAGATAATTAAACCAGGCCAAAAAATGTCTGCTCCATTCATCAAGAATAATCTTGTGCTACTGCTATTTTTTTTTTTTTTTTTTTTTTTAATATGCCTATAGAACAGGTGTCTCCAACCTTGGCAACTTTAAGCCTGGCGGACTTCAACTCCCAGAATTCCCCAGCCTGGGGAATTCTGGGAGTTGAAGTCCGCCAGGCTTAAAGTTGCCAAGGTTGGAGACCCCTGCTATAGAATACATAAGTCTTTGACATACGACGGCAATTGGGACCACAATTTTCCTTACTAAGCAAGGCAATCGTTACGTGAGTCCTGCCTGATTTTACGACATTTTTTTTTTTTTTTTTTTTTTGGCCACGGATGCTAACTAAGCAAACCATTGTGGTTGTGAATCACACGTTCTTTAAGGAACTCAGTTCCCACCCACCCTCCACCCCCTTCCATCGACTTTGCTTGTTAGAAGCCAGCTGGGAAAGTGGCAAATGGTGATCATGCAATCCCGGGACATTGCAATCGATTAAATCCGTGCTGGGTTGCCAACCCGCATGGATTTAGATCCCGTGATCATGGGAATGCTGCAACGGTTATTACGTGCAAGTGTAAGTCACTTTTTTTGCAGTGCCCAGTGCCGTTGTTGTAACTTCAAACAGTTGCCGTTTGAGGACTACCTATATAGATGCATATATAGAGGGACGGCTTCATGCATTCTAAAGGTTGGCACAGCTAATAAAATGAACGCACAGGTTACATACAGTATCAGCTAAAGAGAAATGTAAAATATTGCAAATTGTCTAGGGAAAGTTTGGGAAAGGTTTCTATATATCTCCATGTATGTATGTAGGTACATACATACCTACAGGTATGTATATTTGAATTTAGGTATATTTGAATTTAAAGGTTTCTATATATCTCCATGTATGTATGTAGGTACATACATACCTACAGGTATGTATATTTGAATTTAGGTATATTTGAATTTAAAGGTTTCTATATATCTCCCAGTATTTATTTGTTTGTTTTATTTATTTATGAGAATCTAAAGGTTTCTCTATATATAACCCAGTATTTATTTGTGAGAATTTAAAGGTTTCTATATATCTCCCAGTATTTATTTGTTTGTTTTATTTATTTATTTATGAGAATTTAAAGGTTTCTATATATATAACCCAGTATTTATTTGTGAGAATTTAAAGGATTCTATATATCTCCATTCATTCATTCATTCATTCATTCATTCATTCATTCATTTATTTATTT